TTTAGGTCGCTGTTAACCTGGCTCAAATGGAAAGCAACAACACATCGCCCATGGCAATGAGCAGCTGAGACAGCAACAACGCAGCTGTTTGGGCAACGCAAAGGGTGCGAGTGAGAGGAAAAGAGCGCGTGCGCGCGTTTTTGATCGCGGGGCGGTTTACATGCGGTTTCGGCCGCTTTCGCTGTTCTAGCTCTTTGTTGTTGCAGTTGTCGCAGTTGTTGCCGGTCGGTTAGTCACTAAAACCTGAACCTATGAACATAACGACCAAACGTCGGGGTGGAAAATGAACAGCAGAGTCAGGTGTTTTCCAGCCACTTGCTCAATGCATTAATTCGAAACTGCAGCCAATTTAATAACGATTTTATACCCTGCCATGCGCACAGCGAATGGACTTGATAAACCAATCTTTAGGATAGGTTATATATTTAATCATTAAAATTAATTGGAATATTTTAAAGGTCTTATAACATGTAACAATCATGGCAAATAAAATGCGTCAGACCATGCTGAAAATACATATATTCTTAAACTTTTAATCGATACAAAAAAGTTAGTAGGGCTCTAATGATTATAATTAAATGTGTACGACGTCATAAAATACGCAGGAAAGTGCCTCGATAAACAGATGAAGAAATATTCCCCTTCGACTGGAAATTATAGAATAATTTTACAAATTATCTTTATTATTATTCCTAAATATTAAATCGTTTTATCTTATGTTTTTAGGCAGTTAAAAAAATACACAAAAAGCATTTGCATTAGATTTGGATAATTATGGCAATTTGAGTAAAATACACTTAACTTAAACGACGGAAAATTTTATTTTAAAAGGCAACAAAAATTGGCTTAAAATATCTACACGATTGCACATATGTAAGCTTTTACGAAAAAATAAAAGCAAGACATTAAATTACAATCCCATAAGTATTTTTCCATTATTACCTTTCAATAATTTAATATAATAATTAAATAAATAAATATTTCACGATTGACTTGCAAATCGAAATCATTTATGATTCGCATTTATTTTTTTACAGAGAATTAATGCTTGGAACAAAACTGCTGTGACAAAAGTATTCCTCTTTAAATGGAATTATTTCAGATTCAGAGTAATATGAATTTTAAAAGTCAACATTGTGATTTTATGTTTGTAGTTGCAAAGAGGCAATACCTTCTTTAAAAACTTTTTAAACAAGTAAGCAAAGCTTTTTGAGTTCCCCATGTGATTTCGACTTAAAATAGTTTGAATTAAATGGCATAACACCTTCGTAGTGTAACATTCGATCGCCTAGGGCTCTTTTTGCTTGGGTTTTTTTAGACAACTGCTTTGGGTCATATCAATTGGTTACGTGCCTGGAGCGGCAAGGTGTTTATTATTATTAGCAGCATTTCATTTCAGCATTTCTGACGCACTTCGGACAGCCCCATTCAATGATCGCTCTTATTTTCACTGATATTAAAATATGTCAGCACAAAAACAATTGTTCGGCCGGCTAAATATAATAGCATTTTAAAAATAAACATTCTGTTTGTCATTTGTCATTTGCCATTCGTGTTTGGCCTTTGGCATTTTGGGCTGAGTGCCAGTCGTCATACTGATAAGCCAAGCCAAACAGCAACTTTTTAGACAATAATTACCAACGAAAATTACGTATCTAATAGATACATTTGCCAACTAGTTTGGAGGTTTTTCCATTCCCACAGCGTCAGCTGGTAAATACGTTATGAGTTCTTTGGCCATGGTAATAGGAGTCGCATTCAGAGGCCGATTCGTGGCTAACCGTTGCACAAAACTTAAATTACCCAAAGAAAACGTACAAAAATCAACCTGCTAAGTCTGGAGTTTTGATCGCATTCATTTCCCATGACGAAGGAAGCTAAGCAACGTTCATTTGGCAGGCAACCCCTGCTGCATTTTTATACCTTTCTATTCCCCATAGCACGAGGGTTGTTTTCTTTTGCACCTGTGACGGCATGTGCCACTCCACCTTTGGCAAGGGAAAATCAAGCGGAGGTTACCGCCAAAATGCCGTCAGACCAGAGTCAACCTGTTGGAACACCCGGCCAACTAGGTCCCCGATTGCGTGTTTAAACAGGCTAAAAATAAGTCAACTCACAAATGTGATATGGGGTCGAAGGTGCACTTGACATGTTTACTCATTAGTCCCCAGCTGTTTATCTTTTTTTGAAATCTTTAAAACAGAGCAAACAAGCTTAGGAAATACTTGTTTAGTTTAGTTTTAGTAAGTTTACTAAAGTGAACTGCTAATAAACACCAGGAGTTGATCAGTTAAAGAATTGATTGATCGTATCTGATATGTCAACGCTTATTAATAAATTGTATTTGGTTTTAAATATGCTTTTAAGAATAATAATTATCATTACATAGAGCTGCAGAAAGTATATACATATACAAATGCAAAGAAGACGAATTCAAATACATAATTTCATAAAACTGAAAAACAAATATTGAATAAAAAACTTAAAACATATTTTGAATGCATATTCACAAATAATTATCAAGGAATGAAAAGGAAAAACCCACTTTGCCATCCGGTTTCAATATATCAAGTTATGAGTCAAAAAAGAAGATTTTTGGGTTACCCTCCCTTCATACTCAACAATAGATCAAGGTCACCCTGCTCTATCTGCAACTGATCACAAGCCGTCAAGCACATAAAAATGGGTAATACAATTAACACTTTGCCAGGTGTCGCAGATCGGTAAACAAAGAAAACACTGTGTGTTGATAACGACCATGAGAAAAGAAATAGAGCGTTCTATCAAAGGTGCAAGAACGTGCTGAAATAAGCAAACAAACTTAAGCCCCAAACAGAGATTACTTATTTCAAACACCAAATAGTGAAGACCATGTTGCTTTAGTCATTTTTGTAGAGCGTGGGATAAGGAGCGTCGTTGTGATAAAAGGGTGAATCGAATCGGACAGAAGTCAGCTAAGCATAAAACTAAGCAAATATTGTACTGGAAATGGACACAAAATGTGAGTAATATAAATTAATCTAAACTTCTCCCAAACTACAGTTGACTTGTGCATAATTACTGCTGGATTTCCCAAACGTTTGACACAAGTTTGTTTTAGGGGGAGTCATCGATCAAGTGGCAACCGATAAGTGTGAGATATATCCACATGTTTTTTCGACTTACCTCATTCTCCTCGGAGTACAGGCCACAAACGAGTTCTCGAAATGACATTTTTGCATTGAGATGCCTTTTGTTTGGCTCTGTAAAACAATTGAACTTGCAATACGCTTTCTTGTTTTATCGTAATGAGAATTTATTTATATTTATTTCAGTCACAAACCGCTGACAACGCGGGGCTCCTTGAACTCGTGCTTGAACTTTTTATGGAGCAACTTTTCGCGACGGTAATTTTGTTTATTTTTAATATGCACACTTATGAAACAAAACAAATAATCGAAAATAAAGCGTCGAAAGTGAAACCAGCACTGCCGCCAATGGGCGACCAAATCGCACAACAAATCGTATAGAAAATCGCGTGTTGTCAAATCGAAAATCAAACTAAATTACGAATACCGAATAGCGAATAACGAATAACGAATAACCGTCGGAAATTGGGGGGAGTGAAAAGGTCAGCCGTCGACGTCGACGCCATTAATTGCTTTAGATTGAATTAAGCCCGAGTTGGAGGAATCTGGCCGGGGGCGTCGACGCAGCTGCTCGGGCGCAGCAATAGCAATGCCGATCCCGCTCCCGCTCGTTTTTCAGTCGTGACCTACGCCTTATGACGTCATTGGATCGGAGCACTTTATTTTTAGCCGACGATTTCCGCCCCTTATCACCCGTGACGCGGTTAGTTCCCCAGATACCGATAATAGTGATCCCCAAGCTACAATGTACGGCCATAAATTGCAACTAAGTTTGCGAATTCGAAATTGAATAGCGGAACTGTGTGGCCACCTAGCGCCAAAGCACCTCTGTGACTACTAAACTCCGGGCGCAATGACAAAGGAATCACCAGAACCACAACCAGAACCAGAGAGTTCGGGCCCCTTATCTGGGTGGCCAAAAAGAGTGGAGAGTGTGGAGTGTGGAGCGATAAGCTCCGAGAACGCAGGTAACTTGGAGCGGCGTCCAGGCAAACAGATTTTTGCCCGCGAACAGGAGCGGTTCAGCCATAAATGAGGGTTCTAAACGTTGGGTGCAAACATTTGGGAAAGCTAAAAAAAGGGTTAACCCGTCTTCTCGATACTATCAATCTAACGGTCTTTACATAAATTCCTGAATTTCGATGGAGAATAGACTGTTTGGTTCTTAAGATACTTAAAGTCATGAAATTAAAGATTTGCTAGGATCAAAGTTGTACCCATGACTAAATTGTAATTCAAAGGGATTAAGTAATCCGATTTAAGGATTATTAATGATAATTAAACAAATCATTATGTACAGTCCCTGGATAAGACATATTGTTTCTAAGGATGCTTTTAATTCAGAGCATAAAATAAAGCATTATATAGGATCTGAGTTGTCTTTATGACTGAATTGTAATCTTCTTAACTAAATTAAATAATCATCATTAAAGGGTACAAAATCAATTTAATTTTAAATTTTAAAAACGTGGACAACCACAATTTCTTAGAAAAAAATTTAAAAAATACCTTGGACTATTGCTATTTAATAAATCACCAAACTCTGCAGAAATAATGCTTGGATCGCATTAATAGTTATACATTTGTTTACACCCAAGACTTGTATTTAAGTAAATATGTTATAGTCGAATTTTGTAAGATAATAAACATATGTATTTTTTCACCTAAGACTTGTATTTAAGTAAATATGTTATATTCGAATTTTGTAAGTTAATATACAACATGTGTATACAATATATGTTTTCGTAATAAGTTTTTAGATTAAAAGAGAACTTTGGTGACGAAAGTTGTGTCCAAGTTATATTTTATGTTGTATATCAAAAGACTAACTTATATGTAAACCCTAAGAAAGTAAAACAAAATGGCACTCACCCCCAGATCCGGTTCGCTGTTCGTAGCTTCTAAAAGGCAATGTGAGGATGAAGAGGCCGACAGACTGGTTCGATGATCCTTGTGGGACTTATGTAGATTCTGCAGGCTGGCCCAGGTGTCCATGGGCTGGTCGATGCATGCCCCACTGACCGAAGAAGACTGAACGCTGTCGATGGCCTCGAATCCCAGCGAGTGTCGCGAACCAGGTTGGCCAAACACCTGGGCACTCAGCTTGTGCGGCGTTGTGGGCGTATCCAGAGCCAACGATCTGCGCATCTTGCGGGGCACACACGATGGATGGGCAAAGGTGTGCGTTTCATCCAGCGACGGAGCAGCCGAGTGCAACGATATGTCGTCCATGGAGGCCACTGCGCCGAAAGCTCGTGGCGAGTCGTCCACAAAGAGATTCAGAACATCATCACAGGAGCGGGTGGAAGTGAGATTGGTGGCAGGACTCTTGATCAGATTGAAGCTGGCCAAAAGATTGGGTCGCCGCAGCGAAGAGCTCTCTGACGGCGATTTAAGTAGAGCAGCATGATCGGGCATGGCCCGCACAGTCAGTCGGTTGTCCGGAATTCCCACGATGCCCAGTGGACGCGCCGGAGCCGGATAATTCGGTGGTCCTGCATGGGCAGCTCCTTGTCCTGCTCCTCCACCGAGAAAATCCACCACTAGAATGCGATCGGAAATATTCGTGCAATCGTTATTGAAGCCAATACCAGAATCGGAATTCGAGGTGGTGGTGGAGATCTCGCTGTGGTTCGATGGCTGCGGCGAGTGGGCAGCCGCTCCTCCAGCGCCTGCTCCTCCTGCATCGTAGTCCACCTGATGACTCCTGCTAGCAGGCGGCAGGATACGCATGGTGTACATGCTGCGCACCAGATTCACCACATACTCCGAGTTGTTGGGAAACTCCAGGCACAAGTTAGAGATGGGATCCCTGGTGCACTGCAGCCGGAACTCGTGGGCCCGCTGCAAATGCTGGGCGTGCTCAATCAGCTTGGTGTCGATCACGAACACATGGCAGCTGTGCGAGATGCTAATGTGGCCGGCGGCAGCAGCGCTCGGCGGCTCGTACTCCTCCTCGATCTGGGTGTTGTGCACGGCGCTGGTGACTAGGCCAAAGAAGCGATTCTCGCTCTCCGACGACGAGCTCACGTAGTTCAACCTCGCGGAGGAGTAGGTGGCCAGCACTCCGCCGCCGGAGCTCTGCAGGCTCAGGCTATCCGGTGTAATGCACATCAGCACAATGGTGGGCTGTCGCTTCTCCTGGCGCAGTTTGCGGATGCATGACCTCACGGTCTGCAACTTGGAGCTGTGGGAAATCTGCTTGGGCATCTCAATGGTGCCCAGATAGCCCACAATAACGCGATACTCCAGGGCAGCACTGCCCACGGCCCGTACCATGGCACTGACATTGGCCACATCGGCGGCTGCTTTGGACGGATTGCCGGCTGCCAGCGGGGCATCCTCCAGGACGGGTCGTAGTGTCAGGTGTTCGGCGGCGGGGGAGGCCTTGGAACTCTGTGGGGATTCGACTGCCTCCACTGGCAGGGGCAGCTTCTTTTGCGGCGAGTTACGCAGCCGGTGGAGCTTGGCCTTGTGGTGCAGAAACCTGGGCTTGTGCCTCAAACTGGCGGCCAGCAGTTGACCCCTCAACGTGGCATGGGCATTCTCCTCATCCGAGCTGTCCGAGTAGTAGTTCTCGGCGATCTGCATGCGTATGCTGCCAAAGGAGTTGCCTATCAGCTGGACCACGGTTTCGTGTGGCAACTTGGAGACATTCAGTCCGTTGACGGAGATGAGGAAGTCCCCGGAACGCAGGCCCGCTTGCTCGGCGGGTGAACTGCTGATGATGCAGGACAGCCGGCAGGGTTGCTGCCCCGATATGGTGAAACCAAAGCCATTGTAACCGCGACGCACCTCCACGGTACGGATGCCATTGTAGTTGTAATTGGGTCGCTTCTTGCGACGTCGCTGGTGCTGTTGTTGCTGGGCATTGGATCCGGACGGAGTGGTGGTGGTGGCAGGTCCAGCGGCCACAGCTGGTGGTGGTGCCTCCTCCGCTGTTCCAGCTGCTCCTCCTGCACCCGCTGCCGTGGAGCCACTTGCTCCTGTTATGGGCAACGGCGGATGATGATGGTGCATGGCAATCAATCACTGGGTATGGGAAAATGAATAATAACTGGAAACCATAATCCCATCTTGGACATACGCACCTTTCTCATGGATGGAAGCTGCTGCAACCTGGATTTCTGGAAATGGAATGCGGTTTTTGTTGCTGCCCCTTTTCCAATGATTCGCCCCCTCTCGCTCGCACCTATGCCTATACTCGTCGTCTATGCCACTATGTAATCAATGGCACACACACACGCGCACAAATGGCCAGGCGTATTTTGTTGCACCTTTCTAGGCCTCTATTTATTTATTTGCTGACACTTTATTGAGGGCAAGCCCATTATCACACTGTTAATAATTTTGTTTGGGCTTTGTTAGGCTTAGTTTTAGCCATTTGAACGGTTTTATTCGGTAATTATAAAATGTCTACAATGCGCAAGCGTAACTATGAGTGCGGGTGCGGTGTGACCAGTGGTGGAACGCAAAGAAATAACAGAGTTCGGTGTCGAATCTCAGGATGGTCACACTATTTAGCTTTAAAATATTTCTTTCGTGTTTTTAAATAAATTCTAAAAAATAATAATACTCCTATTTGCCCACAAAAATAACTATTATGATAACTATATGTATGTGGTACTAACTTACCTCGATTAATAAATAACGAATATAAATTTAGCTGGACTAGATATTATTATTATTATTCTAATATTTTTCCCATTAATTGTGTAAAACTATTTTTTATAAAGCAATTAACTCATTGTTTACTACATTCTACAATAGTAAATAAAAGAATATATATATATGTGGCTGAAAATGTGGTGCAGCCAGCCGATCCAATGAAATTCAAAATTGCTTCTGCCATATTCAATCTTATTTATTTATTTTAGTTAGTTAGTTAATAGACTTATTTTACGTCGACTCATTGGAGGACTCTTCCTGGGCCTCCATTTTCTCATCCTCATTCACGACTTCTGCAACAGCTGCACCACCCTCTTGATCTGGATTGCTATTGCTATTACTATTGCTGGAACTGCTGGCATTGCTCTCGACCAGATCGTCCTGGTCGAATCCATTCGTGTGCTCCGGCGTGGGAGCCGTGTCATTGGCACTTGCGACTGGCGGGGCCACGCTCTGCAGCTTCTGGCGGGCCGCGTGGACCAGCTTCTCCAGCTCGACGCACTCCGTCTCGATCTCGTAGTTCTTGGACACCAGAAGCACCCAATGGGCCTCCAGCGAACGCAATCGCTCGCCGGCCTGCGTCTGCGCCTGCTTGCGCTGCCAGTTGACGTCCTGGATGTCCTTCTTCAGCTGCTGCAGCTGGAGTTGCGCCTTCGCCTGCATGGCGGTGAATACCTCCAGGTAGGACTTCCACGCCTCCGTCCCATAGTCGAGCATCAGTTCCAGGTTGAGGGATCGCACCCATTGATGCTCCAGCTGGGCCATGGAGTTCTCAATGGCTTCCTGCCAGGCGGACACCTCCGACAGCTTTCCGGAGGGCGGTGGCGGCAGTTCGTAGCGCTTCATTGAGAGCGTCTCCATGGGCAGCCGGTTCTGGATGCGCTCGAACTCGTTGACCATCAAAGGAGTCTCAAATGGCGAAGTGGCGGGAAGGGGCAGGTGATCCAGGTAGTTCTTGGTGGGGCGATACCGACGGCATTCCTCCTCCACCATGGCAAGGGCCTACATATATTTATTAAAGTGTGTTTTATTAATCATAAAACCACTTAAAACTAATTCCATGAACTTACCGATTCCCTGACGCCCACATCATCATAACCATGATCTATATACGGCAGAGCGTCCACAATAACCTCGCCAGCCATTACTTATAAATATTTTTAAAGTTTAATACAATTTTTACCACAAGTAAACAAAAATATATGCCATTCGCTAAACTAAAGCATCGGCAGTGTTTATTCCTTAGCTAGTTTATAGCTAAAATGTTATTAAAAGAAATAGCTACATAATATGTTATGGGTGTTTATAAACTTTAAAAGGTTTACTTTCCTCTATAACAAGTAGAAAGTTCTTGCAAATTCTCTTGTTAAATTTATATAACTTTTTTCTGTTTTAAGCATTTAAGTAAACATACAAGTTTTAGTTCATAAAATATATAGAAAAATAAACAAAAGACAGAAGCGTAAACCCAGTGTGGTTTAACGTCAAAGCCTCCCTGTTAACTTGACACTAGCCTCTGTTAACGAATGCAACCATGGACCGCCGAAAGTGTTTCCCAGCACTTTTCTGCCGTTTCCGGCAACTCTCCTTCTTTCTTCGTTCTTCTTAATAAAAAGAGGACGGAATCTGCGTTTGCAGAATATTTAACACCTTTCATTGGGTTTAAAAATCAACGAAAATGGTGAGAAATGGACACTTAAACAACCCGCAACGGCTGCACATGCCAAAACATTGGATTTAACACACGAAACATCGGGAAAATAGTGCAAAAGTGTCGCCCTAACCTCCACGTGTTTGGAATGTGTGGCGGTGGCTAAACGCGGTTGTTGTGTTTTTTTGTGATGTGAAAAGTAAACTAAAAGAAATGTATTTTTCCTACAGAGCTTAGGCAACGCCAGGCCTTTGGTCTCCGTGTACACGGAAAAGAACGAGCCAGTCAAGGACAAGAACATCTGCCTGCCGGCGGTGTTCAAGGCGCCCATCCGTCCGGATGTGGTCAACGAGGTGCACCAGCTGCTCCGCCGCAACAACCGACAGGCCTATGCCGTCAGCGAGCTGGCTGGTGAGTATATATATACAAAAACCCCCTTTGTATAGTAGGGCTAATCAGAATTAATTGTATTCCACCAGGTCACCAGACCTCTGCCGAATCCTGGGGCACTGGACGCGCCGTGGCCCGTATTCCCCGTGTCCGTGGTGGCGGCACCCACCGTTCCGGCCAGGGAGCCTTCGGCAACATGTGCCGTGGTGGTCGCATGTTCGCCCCCACCAAGACCTTCCGTCGCTGGCACCGCAAGGTGAATGTCAACCAGCGCCGCTACGCCCTGGTGTCGGCCATCGCCGCCTCCGGAGTGCCCGCTCTGGTCCAGTCCAAGGGACATGTCATCGATGGCGTCTCCGAGTTCCCCCTGGTCGTCTCCGATGAGGTGCAGAAGGTCCAGAAGACCAAGCAGGCCGTCATCTTCCTGCGTCGCCTGAAGATCTGGGCTGACATCCAGAAGGTAAGTTACTATGAATACCTGGCTAGGTAGTATCTGAACACAGTTAGGCAGAAAGTCGTGGTATGTCTAACAAAACGCGTGAATATCAGGTAATACATTTTTGTAAACACGTTTTTGATATTTCAAAACCCTGATGGAAAGTACAACTTTAAAGTTCAAAGATTTGGTAACAATATGTAGACTAATCCCTAGTATCATTTTAAAAACAACATAAGACTTCAAGTACTTGTTTAATTCAAAACTGGCAGTGTGTAAGCAATTGGCTACTTTGTAGTTTTCAGATGTTTGCGAAGCATTTCTGCGCTGCTAGATAAAATGCTTTTCTAGGCGTTACGATTGAAACCTGATCCACGTTTCCATCGTGGTAACAGAAAAGCAACATTTTTTTCTATTAAAAAACATGGTATATTAGTGCTTCTATTTTCTTGTGTTGCTTTACTACGATTATAAATATATGCCCAACAGTTTTGGTTTTTTTTTAGACGTTTACACTGTGTTTATAAGTTTTTAAAATAGCGTAATCGGATTTGTTTTTTTCGTAGTTTCCTCAAATAGTTTCTCTATAAACAATGTTGAGAACTTCCTATAAAGTATCACAGTGTATTATAATTTATTTTTACTTTTAATTGACCCTTTAACTTCACTTTTAAGAGCTAGATTCAGTTGTTGTTATTGGATAAAATGGTCTATATGGTCAATATATGACCATTAATGTACAGAATAGTTGTTCACCAAATACTAATGCATTACACCTGTTTCCCATTCAACCACAGGTCTACAAGTCGCAACGTTTCCGTGCTGGCCGTGGTACCATGCGCGACCGTCGCCGCATCGCTCGCCGTGGTCCTTTGGTGGTGTACGACAAGGACGAGGGTCTGCGCAAGGCCTTCCGCAACATCCCCGGCATTGAGACCATCAACGTGGACAAGCTCAATCTGCTGAAGCTGGCCCCCGGCGGTCATGTCGGTCGCTTCGTGATCTGGACCGAGTCGGCGTTTGCCCGCTTGAACGATCTGTTCGGCACCTGGAAGAAGCCATCCACCTTGAAGAAGGGCTACAATCTGCCCCAGCCCAAGATGGCCAACACCGATCTGTCGCGTCTGCTCAAGTCTGAGGAGATCCGCAAGGTGTTGCGCGATCCCCGCAAGCGCGTGTTCCGCAGCGTCCGTCGCCTCAACCCCCTGACCAACGTGCGCCAGCTGATCAAGCTGAACCCCTACGCCGAGGTCCTGAAGCGTCGTGCCGCCCTCGCTGCCGAGAAGCGCACCGTGGCCAAGGTGCTGGCCAAGGCCAAGAAGCAGAACGTGGAGCTGGCCAAGTCGCACTTCGCCAATGTGGCCACCAAGGCCGCCGCCAACCGCGCCAAGCTTTTGGCTGCCCGCAAGAAGAAGGTCGCCACCAAGAAGCCAGCGGCCAAGAAGTAAACTCTTTCTACTTTCCCCCGAGTAGAGCTGACACACACTTTTATATATAATAATAAACCACAAACGTTGTATGAATTTTATTCATAATACATATATAGAGTGCGCGACAGTAATGCTCATATTAAACTCTTAGTCCTAGGCACATTTCGAATGTTATGGCTCTCTTTTTGGACGATCCACTATCACTCGACGTGCTCCCGCTGATAACAGCAGATGTAGATGTGTGGTGGCTGTAGCTTTCGTTATCTTCGTGCTGGCTGCCGATCATTTCGTCTTCGTACACGTTCACGTTCGCCGTTTATACATACATAATACACTTATTGTCACACGTTAATTGGCATTTAATTAAACGTGGAGCGTCGCCATGGCTGTTATTCCACTGTGAACGCTCGACTCGCGAGGTTCTACGAATCGCGAATAAACCGCATCGCATCCCGCATAAAAAAGAAAGAATTGCAATTGAAAAACAAAGGCACAGCGCGCTAAAGAATAAAGGATATATATTTTTTGATTCAATTAACTGATGTAATTTTGCGAAAGTACTTGCTACAAACCGGTTTTCGAACCAAGTACCGAATTTGGCGAAAAAAAAAAGTGTAGATGCTATCTGCGCGCAAATCTCAAAACTCGGATCATACGATATTTTCTATGTGCGGGTCGCCACCGATGTCTGGTTATATTGAGTAGAACGCAATAATATATAGCCACCACCGATCGGTCGGAGCGAAAGAGAGGCGAGAGGAGAGAGAGCAAGAGCATCGGCTATCAGCATCCGAAAAAGAGAGGGAATTCTGGAGCGTCGTCTCCATTTTTCATATTTCTTTTTCTGCCTTCGGTTTTGCACTAGCACTTTGTACTAGTCGCTGCCGCTAAAAGGGTCGCGCTGTTCTCTGTTCGCCGCGTTTAATCATCAGGGTCGACTGAAAACAATACACATACATACATAGCGATTACTTCCGATCACTTGCCCGCCGGCTGATGCCGGAGCATCATCACCCACTACCGATTCAGATCCAGACCAAGTCACACACAACATAATCGACAAGCCATGTTGACGACCGTCCTGAACTTTGCCCAGCGCGTCGCCGAGATCTCATTGCTCGGCGGCATCGAGATTGCATCAGTTGCCCTTATTGTCTACTACATATTCGCCAAGACGAGGTGAGTACGAATGGGCATGGACATGGGCATTGGCATGGGCGGAGATGGAAGCCAAATAAATCTCGCCTTGCGGGCACCCATAAACCGAGTGTGTGGCATATCATGTATAGTATAGTATAGCAGTAGTATAACACCTCCCCCAACCTCCAAGTTCAAGTAACGCTGGCGCGGAAGAAGAGCCGTTATTTTTAGAAGCGCACTCGCAAGTTATCCAATGCATGCTAAATGAGCGACAGTGATACCTAGCTAAGTCGAAAGTCCGTAACTACAAAGTTCTCACATTATATCTTATTTTGTTTTTCTTTAATTTTTAATTATTAACATAATTTTACTAGTATAAAAAAGGGAAAGATCAATTGGGTAAATCATATCAAATCCAATGCAAGCTAAATGAAAGTCCATCAAGTCGCACTTTCTGAACGGGAATATAATATGTAGGTACTCCCAAAATAGGTCATCAGTTTGGAATAATTTCTTATCTTGTTTGTTCTTTTATGATCAAGATTACTTTACTGGTATAAAAAAGGATTGAACAATCTTGCAAGCCATATACATATGTATAATTGATTTTTCATTGTGTGAATTCAAGTTCAAGTTTTAGTTTTCGGATTGATTCCATTATATTTCAGCATTAAATTGGTAGTCTTGAATATCACAAAAAATCAAGATTTTATGACTAAGACCTATTTGCTACCTCCTGCTATTTTGCTTCCATTCTTTATGATCTTGATTATAACGTCGATAAAATAATGTTTTAAAAAAAGAACTGATATGAGTTTTTTGAGTTTTACAATCACTTAATAAATACAAATTAAGAAAATATCAAAGGTTATTTGGAAGATTTATTTTTTGTTTACTGATTTCTAAACAATTTATAAACTTAATTAATTTAATTTAATTTCAAAATATGTAGCAGTTCAATTAGAGAGCAAGACATAGATTTTTTATTCATCTATCATTTTGTAAGAAAATAATCTTAAACACTAAAGTTAATTTTTATTAACCGTATGTACATGTATTTCTCAAATGTTAATCTACAAGTAGTTGTTCGATTAAGCGAAGTCCGACTGTAGTTATGTTTTGTTTTGTTGTTGATCGCACAGGTGGTTGCTTCATTGGCCATGACTCACAATAGCCCTTTGTCGACTTATGCACTTGGACCTTTGTGGAATTTAAATTGGTAGATTTCCGCTTATCATCCACGTGTTAATTTACACTGGGAGGCTGCCTTGGGGCCATCGGTCAGCGTTGATCGGTTCTGGTTGAGTGACGTCAATAGTGTTTTTGTTTACTCAGCAGGAATACTTTCTCCCGCACTCCCGCCCCCCGAAGCACCCCTTTACCCACCCACCCATCAAAAGCTCCCTTTGCAAGGCGCAATTTCTGATGGTGCAGTCCCAGAGATAACAACTAATGGCACCATCACCCACCCATTTTATTCTTGGCAACAATTATCGGAACGATTGCCATTGTTAAACTTGCACCTAATTATCTGATTAAGATTTCACACTGGCTATTTTCGTAATCTCGCTGGATTTCGACCAACTTGGGGCTACAAAGAATGCCTGGTTGTCATCTCGTATCGGTCGCTCATAAAATACATATATGGCCTAGACCTCTAAATAATACGTTCAATCTCACAAGATTGAAATATTTTCAAGTGCCTAATACCGCGAAATTTTCCACAGCTCGAGATGATTGTTGAGTCCACTCTAAGATTAGTGTACATATGGTTTATATTTGTATTGACTAAACAATTAATATAATAATATTGTTGATCCTTAGCATAAACTTAGAGAGCTTGAAAATATTGGTGGCTTTAGGAAAATATATGTGAAATTATGCTTCGCTTTCTGAAATATTTGATTAGGGTCGAAAGTTTCTACTGTGTTGTTCTGCTACAACCTTTCTTTGTTTTCCTTGTTTGGTTAAAGTTCAAGATTATCCATAACTTAATTAAAATTAAAATTTCTGTAATTTCGGTGAGGATATTAACTGATTAGATATTGAACTCGTTTATATTCCCGTCGAATCTTCTCTTGCGCGAATCACGGGTTTGGCCCAACGCCGGGCAATCTGTGTCCGAGTCCAGGAAAAAGGTCTCTATGGCCTCATCCGACTGGGTGTTGTCCGTCGTGCTAATGGAGGGTGTTCGAGGACGTAGACCACGACGCCGGTGGAGTTCCTTGGCATGATGCATATCATCCATGCTGCTCCGGCGCCTTTTCTGAGCCGCTTCCTCGTGGAACGAGATGTAAGCACGCAGATCGGCGATCCGTTTCTTCTCCAGTTGGATCTGCTGGTTGATCTGTGCCTCCATCTTGCAGAAGCCCTCCAGCCGGAGTTTGTTCTTCTCGTGCTCCTGCATCTGGCGGTAGAACCCCAGGTTGTCCGATGCCCGCTGGTCGACATGAAACTTGCTGATCTTGCGGTAGAGCACCTGGAATCGAAGTGGATCCTCGAAGTAGTTGGCCACGCCACGGGGCAATTGCCGGTTGATCGGAACGGTATTAAGATCCACCTTGCAAATTGGACACTTCTTTTCTTCCGAGGATTGGTTCAAACAGGTGTCGCATATTACGTGCTGGCATCGAGACATGTGAAAGACCAACGTCGGAAGTGTATTGCGGCGACAAAAGCACTTGTTGCAATGAATTCGAAACATAATTAAGCAATTTAACAGTAAATTTAAAGTTTGATTAGCCTGCTGTTTTAAGCGTCTTGACAAAACTAACGGATTTTATCCTCAACGATCTGGCCACTCTAACGGCTAAGGGTCTGGCAACTGTGCCACCAAAGTGGCAAAATTTTACTACTGTGAACACTCGTAACTGTCGACAATACAAAAAAACATCATACATAACAAGTGCAATACTGCATAAGTTCACATAAGTAATTGTTCAGTATACTATAAATGTTGGGTCCGTGTACTGAAAAAAATAGTTAAGTTTATCAAATGATTTAATTTTTATTCCTAGCATACAAATTTGAAGAATTTTAATGAAATCCAATAAAAAAAAGGTGTCGTGACAAAATTATTCAGTGTAATGAAAACATTTTGGCAAATAAAAAAATGTATAGAAGGCAAACGTGCTTTCGATGCAAAAACGCAACGAGCGCTGATTGTAATAATGGTTTAAAAACAGTTAAGCAGATAAATATAGAAAAATTGTGGTTGTTAAGGTATGCAAGTTATACCAAGAATTAAAATTAAGAAATCAGAAATTGTAATGTTCGTTTTAAAATATATTCAATCTTAAAGAGGCTCTGTAAATATCATTACATATTACAACAGTTGAAATTAACAAAACATTGTTACAAATTAAGAAAAAATATGGAAAAAAAACCTTGTTTATGTTTTTTTAATTATTGTTTGGGAAAAGTCAATCGCTTTAGCCTCTGAACATGTCAGCTGATTTTCAAGCGATGATGATGTTTTCGCCATACAAAGCGCGCTCAAAGTTCAATTCTGTACAATATTTTATGAGCAACTAAACACTTATCAGTAGCAGGCACTACTTTAAAACGTACACCGTTTTCCATATAAAAATATATACGCCGATTAATGCGCTGTGGGCTATTGAACTCTGGCGAAGTTGGACTGTAGACCGCTTAAGTGGCCGAATATTTATTGAAGAGGTGTTGTATTTTAAATTGCGTGCTCCTGATTTGAACACCACCCACGGCGGTTGTATTGCATTATATTGATACTGATTGATTGTAACGCCTTCCCGATTTGATTCCGATTGCAGAGCCCCCGTTATCATCGCTGGCCTGTTTCCCAACCTGAATCTGAGCTACCGGACAAGCTACCTTAGCAAGATCAACAACATTCGCAGCGATCTCCTAGTCACTCTGCGATCATCCAATGTAAGTTTCCCGGCCTATCAGCAACCCATCGCCTCCGTTCACATTAACCCCATAGCCAATATAGTACACGCTGTGACGCAATTACAGGGAGTGACTAGTTTCGCAGATAAGCAAATTTTTCCACTCAATGAATTATGAATCTGCGATAGCAATTCAGTCAAAGTCCCTAAAGTGGTTAACGTATATCTTAAAGCTCTCAATCTTTTGTTAAATGTTATTTGTTCTGAACCAAAAAACTTCTAAGAATTTTATCGCTAGTATATAATTTGTTTTTTTTTTATAATACAAAGATAAAAGCTTTTAAAATAAATCACTTTTAAAATTTTACAGAACTCTAAGAATGGCTTACATTATTTATTACAAAATATTAACAATATAAAAACTGGTAGTGTAACTAGCACCAATTTACGAGTTACGTATTTTTATATGTATTGTTTTGTATCTCTTTTTACAACTAACCAAAACCTAAAATTTTTTTCTAAATTCGAAAAATTTGAAAGCAAAGTGGCCCAACTTAATTTTGAATTTGGGCGGTGTTGCCACCTCGTCCTGCCAATCGATAACAGTCCTGAAAGCTATCAGGACCTATCGGCCGTCGGTTTCCTGCGAAAAAAGCCGGGCGCATGTAAGAAATGCGGAAATTCTGAACTTACATTAGTTAAAATTAAGTAGAATAGTGGAATCTCAAAGTTATAATGACGCTGGAGGAGTTTCATGCTCGCGGCTGGTTCGAGGTATTATTCGATTCCGCCACATATCGTCTATATGTACGCCAGTTGCATCATAATCCCAACATCTTTCTGATCGTTTCTTTGCAGGAGCCCAAGACGCAGAATTCCGTGGCACATGGCATCGGGACGCAGAACATGTTGGAGCTGACCCCGCAGTCGGGCCAGAAGCCCTTCAAAAAGCTCCTCGACTGGGGCGTGCTCTTTCCATATGTTGCCCAGGTGATGCGCAGCGAGAAGTTCGAGTACCGACAGGTGGGTGACCTTATAGTTTAACATTATGACCCGGACTAACCTTGATCCGCATCCGCCACAGGTCACTGAGATCGTGCACAACGATGTTGTGCTGAAGCATGCCATTAAACAGGCCGCCGAGCTGTCGCTCAGGGAGCAGCGGTATGCCAAAAATGGCCATCGACTGCTCACGCGCAGCGCTAGCGGGGATCAGGAGGGTCAGACGGAGGAGGACGAGAAGGTGGGCATTTCCTACCAGGCCATATTGCGAAAGCAGGAGCAGCGCGCCATCAGCATTCTGAAGGACATGGGCTCCACCCTGAACAACGGCCTGCTGGCCTTCACCTCCTGGATCCTGTACAAGCTGCTCCCGTGCTTCCTCTCCGGCGTCGTGACCAACACCAAGCAGATCGAGATGCTCAAAACCGCCACGGAGCGATCGCCCGGCACCCCGTTGATCTTTGTGCCGCTGCATCGCAGCCACTTGGACTACATCATGGTCACCTGGATACTCACCAACAATGACATACGCAGTCCGCTGGTGGCCGCCGGTAATAATCTACAAATACCCGTTTTCGGAGGACTTCTTCGTGGTCTGGGAGCGTTCTTTATCAAGCGCAAGATCGATCCAGTGGAGGGCAAGAAGGATGTGCTGTACAGGGCTGCCCTACACCTATATCTAACCCATGCCCTGAAGCAGGGCCACAATGTGGAGTTCTTTATCGAGGGCGGACGTACGCGCACCGGAAAGCCGTGCATGCCCAAGGGCGGTATTCTCTCCGTGATTGTGAACGCCTTCATGGACGGCAGCATTCCGGATGCCCTGCTGGTGCCCGTGTCCGTGAACTACGAGCGGCTCGTCGACGGCAACTTCGTGCGCGAGCAGAAGGGTGAGAAGAAGATACCCGAGTCCTTCAGCAAGGCCATTTCGGGCATTTGGAAGGCGCTGAAATCGAACTACGGCCTCATGCGCATCGACTTCAACGAACCGTACTCGATACGGGAGCTGGTCAACTCGTACAACAAGATAGCCCGCGAGGATGGCAATATGGCCAAGGTCTACAAGCCAGCTGCCAGGTAGGCTGTTCGAAATGATTTACTGAGGGTCGGTAGGCAAAGGTCCTTTGTCCTATGTAATGCTAAATTCTGATTGTTCTGATTGTTTACTCAAAAATATCACCCTATCTAAGTATATCACATCTGTCGCTGAAATGTCTTTAAAATTGTGATTATTTTATCAATACTCCTTATAAAAAGTTTAAGATAATAGCAACAAGCCTTACTCGAATCTATAGTAAAATTTACAAACTAAACATAATCCTTAAATTGGGTTTTATAATATGGTTTTTCAAATGGTAAATTAATACTTCATATACAATTGGCTTAAGAATTCGGGAACAAACCATACTTAAATCTATGCACATAATCCTTTAATTGGGTTTCATAACATTCATTTTCGGATTATGTTTTGGGGTTTGCCACATAATTGTATCCTTTACTAATCGCATTTTTTATCTTAGAACCCTGCAGCACAATCAGTCCACGTCCTCGCTTTACGGCACCGATGTTGTGTGCGAAGAACACCGCAATCTCATCGAAAGCATCTCGCGCCAGGTGGTCTTTGACTGTGCCTCCGCCACCTCTGTGATGTCCACCAATGCGCTGGCCTTTTTGCTACTCACCCGATTCCGAAATGGCGCCGAGGAGCAGATTCTGGCCGAGTCCCTGGATGACTTGCGAAACTCATTGTACGGCTGCAAGGACATTGGCTTTTCCGGGGAATCGTCACAGATCTTGGCATATGCCTGTGACCTGCTTGGTTCAGGTAAAAACAACTGTCTGCTTCTTTTACGAGTTTGCCTAATTTGATTTAAATTGTCTAGGTCTTGTGACTCGCACTCGGGATGAGAATGGGCGTTTGGTGATTAGGGCTGTGAATTCCGTGGAAAGTTTTATTGAGCTGGCCTACTACTCCAACATGCTGACTCCGCACTTTGCCCTCAGTTCGATACTGATGGCCACCTTCCACTCGCTGCTCCCGGAGGCGGAGAACAAGAAAGAGGCTAGAGTGTCGCGCAAAAAGCTGATGGACACCGCCCTGGAGAACTGCCAGATCTATCGCTACGAGTTCATACTGAACAAACCGACTCAGGTGCTGGAGAGTTTGCTGCACAAACAGTTGGACGACCTCTTGATAAGTGGTTGCATTCGCTCAGAGACGGTATGTGAATTGTGTTTTGTATTTGTTTTTTGAATGCATTATACATTGATTTTGATCCACTATAGGTGCCCGATGATTTGCCAAATGCAGCGGAAAGCAGGCGCTTGGCTCAAAGCCTGGCCGCTGACTGTCTGGACGACGACGACGTGAACGACGACTACCTCCATGTGCGCAACGGCGAAGCTGATGAGCCCCAGTTGCTGTTCGCCAGCGAAACCCTGCAGCAGCAGCGCTACATCTGCGAGGTGCTGGCGCCCTTCGCCTGGACGTATGTGACGGTGGCGCAATCCCTGCAGATACTCCACCGAAACTCCATGCTGGAGTCGGCATTTATAAGCTTTGTGATCAACGATTTGAGCAGCAAGGTCAAGCGCGGCAGCTGCATCTATGGTAAAATATGAACGTGGATTCCTGGATTTCCGTGTTTTTTTATCCCTTTGCTTCACTTTTAGCTGAAAGCATATCAACGGACTCCGTGCGCAACTGCCTGAAACTGTTGGAGAAATGGTCTGTGATCGAGGTGTGCAACCAGCAGGGCATGCGCCTGATCTCACTCAACACGCTCTACGAGATGTCTCGGGAGTCCCTCAACACGATCGTCAAGAAGATTGACGCCATAGTGCCAAAATTCAATTCTGGCTACTTTAATGTAACGCCTTAACCCACATGGGGCTTGCTTTATTTTTTGGCACTCACTCTTTTTTTATCCTTGTATAGTGCATATCCACTTAAGTTTAAAGTGCATACTCCTAGATCTTAGACTTAGATATGTCTAGTTTTATAGTCATACGAGTTTATATATGCCAAAGTGCTAGCTTTACTGTAACTGAGCGACAAACAGTGAAATATGAACAAATTTCTAATGTATAATTTAAACAACATTTTCTATGTGCTACCAGAGAGCGGCAACGAAAAACACAATACAATACAAATCAACTATACTGAACTGATTGATTAAAGTTTATAATTTTATAAATTAGGCAAATAGAACAGCTTACAAATTACTCTTTTCACTTTATTTTCATAACATCGATCTGGGGCAGCATACGGTGGACCAATTGTCTACTAAACATAATAGTGGTGCTTTTCATAAATAAATACATGTGCAAGCTAAAAATAATTCTACATAATACAACAATGTAATGTTTAAAAAAATAGATTGATTGAGCCAATATCGCTCTTTTTTTTAAGCAGACTATTCTATTGGCTCATCGTCGGCACTAATGTGCTTAACCTTGGTAGCCTTTTTAACTTTCTTGCCAGCCGCAACGTGGATGCGAACGGCGGAACTCTTTACACGACGCATTTGCTTCAGTTTGGCACTGCTCTTTCCCTTGCTTGTCTGTGCGTTTGTCTCCTAAAAATGGGATTGAATATGATATGTTAAAAGCCAACTAATAATACAATATTTGTTGACTAGCTCACCTTAACTGTGCCATCCTTGAGCTTGCCGCCAATCTGGCCGGAACACCGAGTTGCTCCGCAGAAGCAAACCTTCTTGCTGTCGTTCATTAGATCATCCCACAAATAGTTGAAAGTAAGCTCAGTGTTCTGAAAAGCCAGAAATGTGATTGAATATTCTGTTTTACAATTAATCACTAAGCCTCAATAGCCGCTTTTCAACCTACCACTGGAATGTCCTTGATGGCAAATAGACCCACTCGATGGATGCAGTTGACAGTCCACTTCTGGGTGGCGCAGTTCGGCTCACACGAATGGTTCATAAACCGGGCCAGGTTACCCTTCGGTCCCGCATCGATGATAAAGTCCTTCTCCACGCCCAAGAAGTAGTAGTTCTCGTCCCTGTCCCGCTGCTTCTGCGCCATGCGCTGCTGGAACTCGGCATGGTTGATCACCTCGCCCACATACTCGATGACAAAATCACCCTCGGCAATGGGCTCACGGTTGACGAGGCCAAATCCCCGCTCGTTCATGTAAACCACCTCCAGACGTGGCGATTTGCGCAGCTCAAACATCTGATTCTCGCAACGATCGCCGGCACGACAATACTCGGGATGGCACTCGTTGAAGAGAATGCGATTGAGGCAGCCCGAATCTGGACCGCACGGGTGCTCATTCGTGGGCTGGCAGTCACAGGTGCTCACATCCTCCGGATTCTGGGTGAAGCGTACGGGCGGCACCGCCTTGTTGGCCTTGATTCTGACATATGGCGGCGGATGAAGCTTGGCGCCGGTTTGGCGTCGGATGGCCTGCTCCTGACGCCTTGCCATTATGATCTTCAGGAAGCGCGTCGCCTCCTCCACGCCGGTGGTGTAGTTCCTAAACAGCTGCGACTTGGTTTTGTGGCCATCGCTAGTGTCGCCCTCGATGTAGAGGTAAACGCGGCGCCTCGAAATCCAGCCATGATCGTGGGTGCCAAAGAATCGCACCACAAAGTCGTTCTCGCCGTGGGCTTTCTTCAGTATATTGCTGGGTATCTCGGTGGGCGGCAGTATGATGGCCGGCCACCACCGGAAGTTGTTGAACTTGGCCCACACGATCTCACCGTAGAGCGGCAATCGTCCGCTCTCGCATTCCTCGCAGATGTAGCTCTCGTTCGTCTTGATCGGTATCTTCCGGCAGTGGGCGTGCACAGCAATGGGGCACGTTTCGCAGCAGACCAGTTCGCCGCCCTTCACACAAATGTAGCACCACAGCACATTCACGTGCGCATCCGCCTTGGCAATGTTGTGGCGCGGGCAAATGATGTGCGTGGCGTTCAGCATCTGGGTGCCGGCTGGAATGCAATGGGAGTCCTGGTGATAGGTAGCCGGACAGCGGACGCACTTGGCCAGCTTGGAGCTGCCCAGCTGCTGGAACTTGCCACTGGGATCGTCGGAGACGCACGTGTGGCACACGTGTCGTGGACAACGGGCCGAGCTCTTGCTGCTATTCGCTTGCGGCCAGTACTTGCAACAGCCTGTGTGGAACTGCTTGCCACACAGTGGCTGACTGCAGGTCAGGAGTTTATCTTCGGTTATGGTGTGCGATGGATTCTCCTCCTCCTCCTTAATGGGGGAGCCTGGTAGAGCATTGGATGGCGACTCAACCTGGTGGCAAATGACACAGCCTTCCGGTTCGCCAATGTTGCACTCATGACACACTAATTGAGTGCCACCGGCAATCGCCTTGGCATCAGCCGTTACATGCTCCTCATCGGGACTCGGCGACTTGGATGTGGGCGAAATGGCAATGGCCCTTCGACTGCCGATCTTGGGCATGGGAGCTCCCGTCTCCTTGCGTTCCAGGCAGTCGGCATGCAGCCAGCTGCTGCAGTTGCGCGAACAGCGCTGCAGATCGGAGCCTGCCTGATAGCAGTATTTGCACACCGGCTCGCGGCTGAGACCGCGGAAGAGGTACTTGCTGTCCAGCTGCAAGATGTCCTCGACCACCTCTTCGATGGGCCGGTTGAAGGGCTTCTTGGGCTTGGGCGCCTCGGAGAGACGACGTTCTGGCTCCGAAGGCGCCGGCGTTGGACTTGGTGCCACAACCGGAGTCATGCTGCGGCGAATCATCAGCGTTTTCAAGCGATTCGACAGCCGTTTGATGGTTCCCACACCGCGGCCACGCTCCACCACCGATGAACCCAACGGCTGATCCACCGGCTCGCCGTTAGCCAAATCCCGTTCAAGGTCGCGCAACTGAATCAGCTTTAGGCACCAGATATTTTTCACCACGGCTAGCAGAACCTTTTCCACCTTTTCCTCGGACTGGTCCACCAACACGTAGTCCTTGATGGCGGCGAACAGATGCCCGAATTCGGGATTATCGTAAAGAGAGGCGGAGCCATCCGGCGAAAGGTGTTTCTCCAAGCTGGTCTCGGTCTGAGAAGGTGTCACTGTCATCATGGTGCTGCCAGTATCCGCCTCGGTGCCACCGCTCAACTTACGCCGCTTGGCCCGCTTCTCGTTTTTGCTCTTCACGGGCGAGAAGGCCGGACTGAATGGCGACTCCGAACGCTCCCGCTTCACGGCCACCAATTGGGTGACTTTATCCTTGTTGTGCAGATTGTCCGTGGAGTCGTACAGGCTGCTGCCCACATCTGAAGTATCCTGCATCATAGATTTGGTTCGTTTGCGCTTCTGTTTATTAAGAGTGCTGAAATGGGAGTGACAAAATAAGCATCGTATGATTTAAACAGCGGAACAGTGCAGCAGATTAACTTACATGACACTCTCGTACATCTGGTAGAATTTTTCGAGGCGATCGGAGTACGGAATGTCGGTCATAATCTGAGCCTCATCGATGGCCTGCCGCCAAATGACGACCTTGTTCCGCTTGGGAATCATCTGACGGTGCTTGGCGCTCTTCGGTCCGTGCTTAATACGCACCTCCTCGCGCTGCTCCTCGAAGGCCTTGAGCCCGGCGAAGGTGAGCAGATTCTCCGGCTTGATCCAGTTGCGACGCCCATTGTCCGCAAAGAAGCGCACATGCACCTGGATGGGCACTGCGGCATTGTCCAGGGATGAGCGCTGCGGATGACTCGGCATGTTGCCCACAATCTGGCCAAACGGATCGGGACACACCATGCAGGGCCAGAAGCAGTACGAGAAGACCTTGCCCCAGAACAGATCTCCCACTTGGTAGGTTGGCCAACCGGGATCAGTGACAATGGACATGCCTTTGGCACTGTCAATGCTCACGGAGGAGGGGGATTTGACGGAGCCACCGAGGGCAGTGGAACCTAAGTCGGGCGGTGATTTCAGATCTACTTCTGTGGCGGCGGACAATGGCAGGGCGAATGTCAGTTGCTCAGGACTTTTGTCCAAGTCTTTGGGTTCTTCACTGTGATCTCGGGGACTGCCTTTTGCTGGCTTCACTTCTGTGTCCTCCTCCTGCTTTATAGCAACCTCAATGGCCTCTTCATGTTCAGCCTCAGTCTCGGATTTAATGGAGATCGTAGAAGTTTCAGTGTCGGGTTTTGAGGATTCTTCTGCCGGGGGAGCTTTCTCGTCACTTGGCTCCACTTTTATGATCCTCTCCTCCTGCACAGGCTCTGCCTCTGGGGCTACGGACACCTTTGACTTGAACGTGCGCTTCATTTTGCGCTTCAGCTGCTTGCGAACCGCTGGTCGGATGACCAGGTCCTCAGCATCCGCCTCGAAGCCCGTGCTGTTGGGCGAACTAGCACCGTTCTTGATCAGCAGCTTCTCAATGGGGCTCATGTAGGTCTTGCTGTTGCTGCTGTTGTGCAGCTGGGCGCCACCTCCGCCTCCTCCTCCTCCCCCGGTGGTCTTCGGTGATGCATTGTCACGGGACAGGGTCTCACAGGTACTGTTGCTGCTGCTATTCAGGGCCACCGCTTGGTTAACGCGTCGCCTTGTGGTGCGTATCGTATCATCGGAATCGGAAAGTGGCGTGGGCGAGTTGGCGTTGGCATAGCCAATGTATTTGGGGCTCAGGGTCGACTGTAGATTGATTAGATCGCGTTTCCCTGCGGCAGCGCATAACAGGCACAAACAAACACACACAAAAGGCAAATAAATTAGCATATGGCCGGCAATGGGTGGGGTAGATTGCGCCATTGTTATACTCACTACTGTTCACCACGGGCAAACGCTGCTTCTGGGTTGGCGTCTGTCGTTGGTTCTCCGCATCTGCTTCGGACTCCTCCCCCGCCGGCGTTCCCTCGACCTTCTGGCCAGGATTTGCTTTCACCAGTCGATGCACTGGAGTCCTAGTCTCGGCGTCCTTTGGAGCTTCGCCATCGAAGCCATCTGTGGCCGCCGACTCCACTTCCACGGTTGCAGGGTGTTTGGACGCCGAATCGCACACATTGCTCTGGGCACCCTCGCCCTCAATCTCGGAGTGCGAACCCGTGCTCAGTTTCATTCTGCGGTCCAGCTCAATTGCGCTATTATTAACCAAACACAACTAGCAACAAATTTCCAAGAACTCAGCGCTTCGCGTGCGCCAAAAATTCGCTTGCAACCATGGGCATAGCGGGAGTTATCGATGACAGTGTCGATGTATCGATATATTCTGCTTTGGGTTCACATTTAGCTATAACTATCGCATATGTTTCTGTGCAATGCACAGTCGGAAAACAATCATTTTTCTGGCACTTTCTTTTTTGTATAGCTGGAAAGTTGAATTATTGGTCATATATTTCGCACTCCAGAAACTTTTAAATTTGTAATATTATTTTCAGAGAAATATTTATCATCTTGCTCGGCGCAAATATATTTATATATATATATTTTATTGGTATATTTCAAATATAAATTTAATTAAACATGCTTGATTGCTAGTTTACCGAAAACTGGGAGAGGCGGCTTTTGACTCTGCAAATAGCTTTTTTTTTCATAACTTCAAAAATTTATAATATTCTTAACTCCGGCCAACTATTTTGGAAAAAGAGGTTTGGATTGAGCCAGCCTTTTATTGTAATTTTCTAGCTATTTTCTAGTGCAATAAAAGACGCCATAAGATATGCAGCAATTTTCCCAACCAGTGCTGCCATTCTTCGTGTCTCATAAAACCAGGGCTGCCGATTAGATGCCTCACGAGCAATCCCAAGGCCTCAGTCACGCAACACGCCCACCTCTAGCGTAAACATATGTACATTTATGTGTAAACGCATGTAAAGCAAACGGAAGGTTTATCCTGGATTTCCACGGCACTCACGGGTGTCGCGGCAACGAAAAGCACACGAATCCCACGGGCAACGCACCATGGACGAATTTATTAAGACGCTGATTGCCGAGGTCAAGTCGCAGGGCGTGTTCGACGAATTCCGCTTCAACTGCTGCCTGGCGGACGTGGACACGAAACCCGCGTACCAGAATGTGCGCAACCGGGTGGAGGCGGCGGTCAATGATTTCCTGGCCAAACAGCACTGGACGCCGGAGACCAACAAGGTGCAGCTGCGGGAGAGGCTGCGCAAGCACCTGCTCGAGTGAGTACACAATACAGTCTGGCGGGGATTAGGTAATGTAATCAATCATCTCCGCCCATTCCAGCACCGACGTTTTGGACAAGGGGGTGGACCAAATCGTGGACCAGGTGGTCAACCCCAAGGTGGCCACGATATTCGAGCCAAAGATCGAGAGCATCGTCTACAAGTACCTGGGCATCGTACCCCCGCCGCCGCCGCCAGCGAGATCCACATCCACTATGCTGCCCGCTCCACCTTTGCCGCCATTCCCTGGCCACATGAACGGCGGCAGCAGCACAAGCAGCAGCAGGCTGCTCAATGTGGAGACCACCGCTGGCCTGCTGCCCACCGATCTGGAGCAGATCAGTCCGGACTCTGACCGGGGCACCGTCAAGTCGGAGGCCAAGGACGAGGAACTGCCGCCCGGCGTGGACGACGAGGACACATCGCCATCGTACGAGCCCGTCCACGAAGAGAAACCACTTGTGGCCACCAGCAAGGAGGAGCTTAACAATGGCTCGCTGAACAACTCGGATTCGATTAACGGCATCTCACAGGCGTCGCAACTCTCGCAGGTGTCCAGCGACAGTCGCCTGACCATCGCCTCCTCCACGGAATCCGTGGGCGATGCCCAGCAGCCCATGGGTCAAGCACCCCACAACAGTGGCGAACCGGCGAACATTTGCGAGGAGGCCCAGATGCCAAAGTTCAGCGAAAACTCCAGTGACACCATTGCTGGAGCAGGTGACAATGGCAGTCGGCAGCTGCACTTCGACATTAAGCAGGATGCCATTACTTTCGAAGGTGGGTTTGCCAGGTCTGCAAAAGTGTTTAATTTATTGACTAATTGGATTATCGAGCAGGTACTGAGCGAAATAACTCCGTGACGAAGGACACGAACGGTGGCCCACCGATTCTATCCATCGAGGATGCCATTATGTCGGAGGTAAAGGCCAACATAGACGATGCCAACAATGCCAGCATTGAGTCTATAGTTGAACCGGAACCCATACCACCGCCTCCTCCGGCGCCGCCCACAGTTGCGCCACCTCCTCCTCCGCCAGCCCCTCCGAAAGATGAGCACCCGCCCCCTCCTGCGCCCCAACCACCAGCACCACCTCCAGTGCAGCCACCTCCTCCGCCAGCGCCTCCCAAAGTTGAGCCATTACCGCCAGCGCCTCCGGCAGTTGAACCTCCCCCAACGCCACAACCGGCAGAAACCAGTAATGGATTCCTTTCGGAGGAAGTTGTGAAGCCAAGTGTACAGTTCGATGCAGTGGATGCGGAGATAACTCAGCCCACAACGGCAGCCGAAGTCAAGGAAGATAAACCTCCAGTGCTCGCCCCGCCAGAAGATGTGGAGACACCTAAAGAGGACGCTAAGAAAGCCATGGCATCGCCCATTTCCGTATCGTCGCAATCCAAGAGCCATTCAAAGTCCAAGGACAGAGAGAAGGAGCGACGACATCACAGCCACTCAGATGATAAGCAGCGACGCAGGAGCAGAGATCGGGATCGGGATCGTGAACGTGATCGCGATCGTGACCGCAGTCGGGATAAATCGCACAGCAAACATTCCTCGAGTTCCAGCTCGAAGCACTCCTCATCGCACTCATCCAGCTCGAAACATAGGAGCAGTAGCAGCTCCAAGAACGACAAGAGCTCCAGCTCATCCAGCCGAAGTAATCGCGAGTCATCCTCATCCAAACGCTCGGGCACTTCATCTTCATCTTCTCGCCACGAGTCCTCATCCCACAAAAAACACAAATCCAGTTCATCTTCATCGCGATCGGATCGGGATAAAGACAAGGATAAGGAAAGGGACAAGGATAAAGATAAAGATAAGGATAAGGATAAAGAGAGTCAAAATCGCAGCCACCACAGCAGTAGCAGTTCATCATCGTCGTCGAGGAGAAAAGAACACGTTAGAGGGCGAGATCGTGATCGCAATAAATCCAACTCGTCCGCCAGTGCGGAGAATAAAGCGATCCAGGATGATCACAACGAGAGCAAGTCGAAGCTTAACCAGCGACGGAACTCGGACTCCAACGATGAGGGCAAGCCACCCAGCTCTGGTGGTCCGGTCAAGATGCCCCAGATGCCACACGAAAAAGCAGATGCGGATGCGCCAGTGGAGAATGGTAATAGCACGAATGGAAACTCCAACGGTGGCCAAAACGGTGAGTGCGACAGTGCAAGCGGTGTTGTCATTGTCAGCGACATACTCCAGCAATCGTCGACCAGTTTCATTGAGCTGACTGCTGGTTCCCAGTCACATAGGCAGGAGGAGAGCAGTAGGCCTGTGTCCAACGATATGGACGGGAGAAAAGTCGAGAATCAGGCAGAGAAACTAGAAACGGAGCCGGTTTCGCAAGGTGAAGAGCCAAATGCAGAACCTCAAATTGCTGACAAAGAAGCTGAATCGTCCGTACCTTATTCCCCGGTTGAGGAAAACAATGAAGGCATTGCGTTGGCACTAATGGAGAAACCCCAAGCTGCGGAGAGCACACAGGAGGATCCTCCTGAACCCAGTCCACTGGAGAATCTACCGAACGAAGCCGAAATGCCTGCCCCAACCACACCCAAGTTGAATAAGCAAAGTGATACATTAGTTGCCGACTTTGTAACCCACTTCGAGGAAAACACAGAGGAGTTCAAGGCACGCCTGCAGCTCATCAATCAACTGATCGAGGATCGCAACAATTTACTCAACAGGCTGAGCGCGGAGGGATCAAAGGATGAGATAGTTGATGTACGTGCTCTGCGAAGGAGCATATCCAAGCGAAGACGGAGCAGCTTACAGGAGCAGCAACTGCAGCAAGTGGTGCGGGAGATGACACCACCGCCCCGGATTTGTAGTCCGAGCAGCAGCAGCAGCACCTCCGGCAGTCCGGCGAAGAGGCTAAGGCGCGACGAACCCAAGGCATCGCCCACGCCATCAGACGCCAGTATAAACTCCAAGGAGAACGAGGCTTTGGAGAAACAGGAGCATGGTGCGTACTGTGTCATAGCAAGCTATCATTTGGTCTAACAATTCAGTGTGTATATAAACAAATCGCTTTATTGTTAACCAACACCCTTATTAGGATGAATCGATTTTGTCTTGAGAAAAATCGTAGGAAGCGGAAATTAACTTTAGATAGAACTAATCCACTATATTTGCTTTTAAAAAAATCTGTATAAATACTTAATAAAGCAAATGTATTTCCGCTTCTACGATATATCGATCTGTCCTTCGCTTTACATACATCTCATGCTCATCCTCATTGTTATTTCTACCGCCTCTACTTTCTACTCCACATGCATCCACATAATTTATAAATTAATATAGCAGTGTATGGAGCCTCCAACTAGGCCTTTCAAAATTTTGAAATGTGCTGGGTAAGCGGTTAGCACAAGATTTTCTGACTTTTGTTTGCCCACACTTTAGTTGATATTGCGAAGGGCTTCCGCGAATGCAAGTGATTAATGCGATTGTTTATTCTGCAGACGCCCTGTCCGCCAGGCGACTCAGCAAGAAGCTCTGCCAGCAGCAGCGGTACACCAACGATGATCTCTACAAGCCCCGTCCAATCCTGTCGCAGCGCTCTCGTCGCCGGGGCCTGGATTCAATCCTCTAGCCTCTAGCCTTCAGCTAGAATGAACACACACGAACCAACTGTTATCGGAAACAATAAAAGGCAATTGTTGTTAAAATGCATTTGACATAAAACAAGTAATACGCTTTCTTTCTTTCATCCGTTTAATGGGCTTTTTCGCTGGCCAATGGTTATTGCTTCTGCTTCCGCTTCGTTTTTCTTTTGAATTCTTTAACAATAAAATTGTAATTTAGAGCTACACCTTATAGTTTAATAATCGTCGGTGTAGCATATACATATATTATGCATATATATATAAACAAAAATAACAGTGAACATAATAATATGATGCATTATTGTATATTCTGGGGATTCCGGTTGCCCCCGATCCCTGGCACTGAATTGCGATTGCTAGGCAAAAGGGTGAAGAACTCTAGCACTGAGACGAAAGTTGTGTGTGTGTGATGATTGGTTAAAAACAATGGAGAAAATCTTAAATGTTTAAGCAATCGCAATGGAGTGCTGGGACGCAAGGGACAACAGACATAGCTAGGCTACTACTCTACACTTGGGAAGGGTCTGGCTGGCTGGCTAGTTAGTATCGGGTCTAGATTGGGCAATCTGGGAGGGAGACTGTATCTGCGATTCGTTAGTTTTTGTAACATCTCAGTTTGAAGATTTAAGTGTAATTGGATTACAAATTATTGAATTTTACTCCTCGGCGCGCGCGCTTGTGTGTGTGTTTGCTTTACATTTTTGCTCTTGACTACTTTACAACGATCAACAGAAATATATGCATGTATATATACTTTGAAACTTGTTTTAAAAAAAAATATATATAAATGTAGTAAATCAAGGGTTGTAATACATAATAGTAGGTAATAGTATTTTACAGAAGGTTCTCTCATTTCGAAATAACATAGATACAGCATTATCATTAGCATATACTTTTTAACAAGAATTTCGCATTTTGCCTAAAACTGTTTTCTCTGTGTGTGTGTGGGGATGGTGTAGGTGTGTGTGTGTGTTGTGGAGTTTTGCGTGTTGTGTGTGAGAGCGAGAGTTTTGTGCAGAACAACAACTACGATTTAACCTCCGACTATGGAGTGATAAAACTCTCTCACCGACTCCTCGCAGAGTATTCATACAAGAAGCAGCTGGGTTCGGGTGGGCTGAAAGTGGTGGGGCAATGGCCAGTGACGGTGGTGAGCGGATCGGCAGGCGTTTCGAACACCGTGTCGTCCACACCTGCCCAACGGTGACCACCACCCATCGCACATCCCAGCTTCCCCGATCCCCACCGCCAACTAATAGCTACGCTTAGGTTTAGCTGTCGCTCCTGCTGCTGCTGCAAACGTTTCGAACGCAGGCCTCGCTCGCGGCCACGCCCACTGGCGCAGCCTACGTGCTGGAGAAGCCCCGTTCGTATGGACTCTTCACGTCCGTGTGCCGCGTGTGCAGGTTGATTGTTGGCCCGGCGGGTCGCGTCGACAGCTCACACACCGTCTTGATGGCACCGGCGGCATTCACCGAGGTCGGCGTCGAGTGCAGGGTCGCAGCCGTGTCCTTCTCCTTCTCCTTCGCCGTCTCCCGATCCTGATCGTTCTGCTCCTCATCCGTGGTCCTGGGCAGCACGTAGTCCGCTTTGCGGGGCTCCGAGCGGCCCGTAATTGACGATTTGTACTGATCGGCGTCCATGCCGCACAGGTAGAACTTGAAGAACTCGTACGTGGACCAGCAAATGGCCGTGGCGGGCATGGAGTACAGCACGCGGGCGGTCATGCCCCTGAAGAAGCCCAATGGACCAGCCATGTGGTAGATCTGGAAAAGGTCAAAGGGCAATTAGATTTTAAATAAGAATTTTGAGCCTTTAAACTTGAAAGATAATTTAATGCGATAATTAAATTTACAGAGATCATATTACACATAATAAATGCCAAGCGAACACTTAATTTAATAAAAAGTTTTATGGCAGCAGTATTTATGTTGGAAGTATGAATTTTGTTGAGTAAACAAAGTGATAAATTAAGTTGGACTATTAAATAACTTTCAAAAGCTTTAAGTATATAATACGTTTTTAAATGATATACGAGAAGGGTTGATGAGACTTTTAACCCATTTATCATTAACAATATTGTTAGATTTAGATTTATCTTGTATTATTATACAAATAAAATGAAAAAATACTATTTAAACGAATCTTTAATGATATACGAGAGATTCTGACCTGCTATTTTTAACGCTTTACTTATCATACGGTATCAGTATCTAATTTAAGAGCATATGCTAAATATAAAGCCAATTACTGGAAATTACTTTTATAAAATTCAGATAAAAAGCTAAACAACCCTTAAATTTTAGCAGGGACAATATTCACCTTTCGGCTGGCCTCGATCATGCCGCGCGTCAGTCCAGTTTCCTGAGTGTTCAGCAGCGTTTTGATCACATCCAGGGGCGTGGTTATAGCTGCTGCACAGGCGCCAGCTGCAGCACCCGCTGCCATGTGCACCGGAGGATTGTATTTGCGTTCCAGGTTCAACTGCAATGCACAAAATAATATAATTTGTTGGCAAGACCAAGGAAGTGCTTAATGCACTTACTGTGTTCTGGAAAAACTCGTATGTGGTAAAATGTATTGTCTGATATGGTAAATTCATGACCAGTTGCGTGCCGTAGGCTCTGTAGAAGGCTTTGAAGCCCTCCTTCTTGTAGATATCCCGGACGCAGGATATCACCGATGTGTAGGGTGAGTTATACATCTGCATTCGCTGCTTGATCACATCCGTGGGACTAGAAATGGCGTCGTGAATGAGGGTGGCCACAACTCCCGAAATCACTGTAATGGATTCGGTTACGGATTAGGGGCCATTGGCGCAAGTATAGTCCCTAGAAATTTACCATAGTTGAGGTTTCTCACTGATGTGAACTTGGCCGTTAGCTCCTTGGTCATTTCGTAGGCAGCGAAGTACAGCGAATGCGCCGGACCAGCACCCAATACCACCGCACTGGCTCCCCGAATGGGTCTGTAAATCAAAAAGATGGTATTCTAGTTTAATATGTAATACACAATAATGAAATAACTTACCTTAACAAGCCCTCACGCGTGACCATGTTCCGAAAGGTTGACAATATGTTCATGTTTTGTGTGGGCGGCGAAAGGCTCTGCATTCGCGTCTATAAATGGGCAAATAATGGAACGTTTAAAATAATTTTATATTTACATTGTGCATTTACAAAGGGCTCTCTGAATTATTTGTTATTTAATTTACTTATTGTTTGTTCTAAATTAAACTGGGTAATACACTGGTTAAAGTGATGTGTCAGAATTACCAACTTGTTTGTCTTATATATGTATATAGTATACAAATCTTAGATTAAGGGAAGTGAAGAATAGAGAGTCGCTTCTTGCCATTCTTTTGCAAGTCATGGTTACTCATGATTTATGAACAATACAGAAAAAAAAATCAATAGGGGGATCTCCAGTTTTCATTTTAAACGCTGACATTTTTAAGACCTCAGAACGTGCTTTCATCATGATTTGTTTTTCCCGGAAACTATTTTAATCTTTTACTGCAGTTGCAATCGGAGAAAAATATATAGAGCAAAATATCAGCAAAAAAAATAAAATCAATAACTCATTTGTACCATGCTTTATTTAAGCTGTCAATGATGTTTCTCGTAACTTACTAAATCTATCCCTGTAGTTACAAACTGCAACAAGAAAGAATAATAAATAATATCGAAGCACACATTAGATCATTTACAGAAATAAATGACTAAATTAATAACTCATTTGTGCCATGCTGTCAATAGATTTCTTTGGATTTGCCACTAGTCCATAATCGGTATACAACAGCAGGGACTAATAACCGATATCAATGGAATATAAAAATATATAATAGTGTGTTTGCCGGCGAAACTTTCGCTGATTTATAAGCAAGTCACTCGGGAGTCTAGAGATTTGCAATTGTTTACGTACTTTACGATTACACATGTATATGCATACGTATGCACATCTATATACTTAATTGCATTTATTTAAAGGCGTGCCCGTCAAGCAGACGAGATAGAATTATATCGCAAAGCTGAGAGCAGCATCCACATTGTAAATTACAGCGACAGAGACGAGGGCTTTGCGATGCAGATAAGATTTCCAGGAATATCTACGTATCTGCTGGGTGCCTCTGCTGCTATCAATAGCAAAAACAAGTCAACACGGCAATTCAAGGTGAAAAATAGTCTCTTGAGTGGGGGCTGCAATAGAAACCTAATTAAAAAGGTGCCACAACGGATTGATAGAAGTTTTCGTTACATAAATGGTAATATCAATCGATAGAAGACTGCCAAGATGTATGAAGGCAATATGATTAATTTATCCCGATAATAAGCGCTCTGTGATAAGAAAATAAATTGTGAAATCACAATGACAACGCGGCGAAAATAATTATTTATAAATCAGTCACAGAAACATCGCAAATCAGCGAATAAAAGCGCCTCAATTGCTGGTCAATTTAAGGTTTTCCGCTCTGGCTTTCGTAACTCCGTGAAATTAGCTCGTCAAACGACGGACTATTATAATGATGACGCCGGGAATCCCGGCCAGGCTTTAGACTGGCACCCAACTGCCTGCCGGCTGTCATTTGCACGATTGACACATGTGGCCACGAAAATCAATAAATACTCGACCAGCTGAGTGAAATGTAACGAAACAAGAATCGGTCAATAATAGAATGCGTTGTATATGTACATATGTATGTACTATTATCGAACGAGCTTCATTACGAGGTAGCTAGCATGGCGCATTTTGCATATGCTTAAGCAGTGTACTTTTGTCCCTTCCAAATGAGTTTTTCAGGTGAATGATCAGAGCTCTGGCGATAAGAATTAGTCCATTCAATGATGAAACGACGGTGGCTAATCTTATCGCCGCAGCATAAACCAATGGAACGTGCGCCGATAAGAGCAGAAAAGTGGCTATTCCACCTAAAGCTGTTCATTGGGACTGGGAAACTCTTGGTTTGCAGTTGATACCCGAGGAATTACATCACGATTATGCCAAAGCAGCGGCGGCAGCGGCGATGGCGACGGTGGCACACACAAAATTCCGATGGTTAGTGAGGTTAGGTTTATGCCGTATTATGCTCCTCCTCCGATTACCACCGGACGGGTAACGCCGATCTCACCTTGACGGAGTCCAGCGGATACATGACCACATGCTCCAGCACACCCGCAATGGCGCCCGCCGTCATGTTCACACCCACACTGGTGGTGGGCAACGATTCGTAATCGTCTATGTTCATGGTGGATCCGGTGGTGGTGGTGGTGCAGCTGGTAGTGGTGCCCTTGCTGCGGCTGCTCCTCTTACGATGACCTGCTAATCCGGACCAGTTGCTACAGCTACAGCTACAGCTCCAGTTCCAGTTCCAGTTGTAGAACCGCTTTCTCCTCTGCGATTAGGCTGCTCCAACGGGCGAAGATGGCTTTCCGATGTTTGGGAGGTCGATTTTTAGCCGGCGTATGGCAGAGGAACACGGAACAATTTTGTTGTATAACACGGATATCGCGATTCACTGGTGGGCGGCTGTTCGGGGGGTGGTGCTCGTGCTCTGTAGAGTATGTTGAGTGTGTACGCGTGAGGTGGTGTTATGCGAAACTACTAATTGACACTGCTGCGGCGGTACTCTGGTACTTGGTACTGGTACTATGCACGACTACGACTACGACTACCATGTAGACGACACGCTCCCCGAATCATTCACTCGACTTCGATCACGATTTCGAAGTGAAGAGGTTTCTGTTTTCCGTTTCTGCGGTTGATGTTTTGTGCTCTGCCCGCGGCCCCTGTGACGGATGAACTGCGTCTGCGGCTGCTGCTGCGGGTGTTTGTCTGGATATAGACGAGTCGGTTGTAGGCGGAGTATGGCCGAAACGGAATATAAAATAGGCCCTGTGTTTGGCAACTCACGCAAATGCTAAATGATTACAGGGAATCATTAAATTTCGCCCAATAAACAAGCCTCGTGCCCAGAGTGACCGCAGCGGGTCCGTTGAAAAATACCAAAGGGCTTGGATATAAATACCGAAATATACCAAAAACATGTGTGGTGGGGAACTTTAATAGAAAATCGTTGTAGTGAGACCGTAAAGTTGGAATAAGACATACTAGAAATAATAATATACATTTATTATTTGGCGGACTAATCAATGGAAATTAATTTTATAAAAAAAATTATTAAAAATATAATGTTAATAATTGAAAATATTGCTCATTTTAAAAATATATCTTAATCTAAATATATTCTCTAATATCAAAGAAAAATGATATATATTTAAAAATATAGGTTTAATTGACCACTTCGAAAAAAATAGATCAAATTTTCGAATTCTTTCTAAAAAAAATTAAAACACAGTGACTCAATGATACATACGTATAAAATATCTAGGATTCAACGCTGGAACTTTGAACCTTTTCTTAATTAAAGTTTAAAATCCAGCATATTAAATGAAAACATTTAAATAATCAAACTCAACAGAAATCAATTTTTTTTTTTAAATGTCGCTACTATTTTCAGGCCCACAACTGTATATATCTTCATTTTGCAGTATATTTTTAGTCGTTTTAGTATATTTTCCAGCGAGCATGGCATATTCCAACGCCGCAAAATGGTCACCTTACCAGGGATTTAAAGGCTTTCCAGCCGTACGTCGGCGTCATTTTAAAAAAACCGAAGCGGGCGTCGCAAGTACGGAATAATTTATTGTATCTGTTATTCGTGACGTGGCCTTTCCGCCGGAGTAACTGATAGCTCGTCCTGCGTAGTAAATCAAGTTATCTTTGATCATGAAGTACTTTCTGCTGTTGGCTGTGCTGCTTTTAGCAGGTACGTTTGCATTTGCCACGCCGCCATGCCCGCAAAATACCGGTGTTTTAACCTAATTAATTCATGTCGCATTCTCATTAGGCGTCAATCAAATCGCCGCCAGCGAAGATGAGGCTACTACGGAAACCATTGATTTGGACCTGGGATCCTTCAAGGAGGGCTCAAGAACTGGTAGGTAGAGACACGCCCCCCCGGCGAGTTTAGCAAATGTTGATGGTACACGTCAGCGTTACGAACGCCTGCAATAAGAACGCCCCCTTATCTTATACTCAATTTACTTATCGAAATCCACAGACGCCGAAACTTTGAAACGCGAAGAGGAGGCTATTCAACTGGATGGTTTGAATGTGGCGCAATTAAAGGAAATTCGCGAAAAGGTGGGTTGAGTTTATGATCCAGATCATTCTCAAAGTACACGTATGACTGGGATTTCCCTTCTCTTTTTTCCTTTTGTCTCGGCAGGCGGAGAAGTTCACCTTCCAAACGGAGGTCAACCGCATGATGAAGCTGATCATCAACTCGCTGTACCGCAACAAGGAGATCTTCCTGCGCGAACTGATCTCCAACGCCTCCGATGCCATTGACAAGATCCGCCTGTTGGCCCTGTCGAACAGCAAGGAACTGGAGAGCAATCCGGAGCTGCACATTCGCATCAAGGCCGACAAGGAGAACAAGGCGCTGCACATCATGGACTCTGGCATTGGCATGACTCACCAGGATCTGATCAACAACCTGGGCACCATTGCCAAGTCCGGCACTGCCGATTTCCTGGCCAAGATGCAGGACCCCAGCAAGTCAGAGGGGCAGGATATGAACGACATGATTGGTCAGTTTGGTGTGGGCTTCTACTCTGCTTTCCTGGTGGCCGATCGTGTGGTCGTCACCACCAAGCACAACGACGACAAGCAGTACATCTGGGAGTCGGACGCCAATAGCTTCAGCATCACCGAGGATCCCCGTGGCGACACCCTGAAACGTGGCTCCGTGGTCTCGCTGTACCTGAAGGAGGAGGCCCAGGACTTCCTCGAGGAGGACACCGTTCGCGAGCTCATCCGCAAGTACTCGCAGTTCATCAACTTCCCCATCCGCATGTGGTCCAGCAAGACTGTCGAAGAGGAGGTGCCCGTGGAGGAGGAGGTCAAGCCCGAGAAGACCGAGGATGACGTGGAGGATGAGGACGCCAAGGTGGAGGAGGCCGACGATGACAAGCCCAAGACCAAGAAGGTGTCGAAGACCACCTGGGACTGGACCCTCATTAACGACAGCAAGCCCATCTGGACCCGCAAGCCCGCCGAAGTGAGCGAGGAGGAGTACACCAACTTCTACAAGAGCCTGACCAAGGACTCCAGCGAGCCCCTGTCGCAGACGCACTTCATCGCCGAGGGCGAGGTGACCTTCAAGAGTTTGCTCTACGTGCCCAAGGTTCAGCCCTCGGAGTCCTTCAACCGCTACGGCACCAAGTCGGACAACATTAAGCTGTACGTGCGCCGCGTCTTCATCACCGACGAGTTCAACGACATGATGCCCAACTATCTGAGCTTCATCCGCGGTGTCGTCGACTCCGATGATCTGCCCCTCAACGTTTCCCGCGAGACCCTGCAGCAGCACAAGCTCATCAAGGTGATCAAGAAGAAGCTGGTCCGCAAGGTGCTCGACATGCTCAAGAAGATCGACAAGGATGCCTACGAGAAGTTCTGGAAGGAGTTCTCCACCAAGTAAGTGTTGACTGCTTAAGTTTTCCAAACAAATTGGGAGGAGTGTTTTTTTTTTTTTAAATTTGGAACTTGTAAAGATAAAATGGGTAGTTATTCATAAGCCTGCCTTTACAAATCCACACAATCCATGTAATTATTCTTCTGACCATTATGGTGACGTGTGTTAATTATCATTTCTATTTAAAATTGATAAGAATCTCTTTTCCTAAGAACTTTATATTTTTTTTTTTTTTTAATATTTCTGACGAAATTAAAGTACACTTCATAGGATCGTTCATACATGATTATAGATAAAAACGTGTTTATAGAAAAAAAAATTTAACACAAAGAATACTTGAAGAGTTAAGATAAGAGTTTTCGCAGAATCCACGCAATATTCAAATATTGACCATAGTGACGTGGAAAACTGATAAGAATTTTTTGGAGTATTACGATTTTTTATACACTTATTTTAATGAGTGTTCCACTGAAAGCTATAAATACAATTATAATATTCTTATAACTAATATCAGTCATCGAGTCAATATAGCACTAATGAAAAACAAATCTGTTCTCCCCCTTTTTTAACTCTATTTTAACTGATTGTTTATATATTCCTCTTTTCTAATCATCATATTATTTTCCGAATTGCAGCATCAAATTGGGTGTGATGGAGGATCCCAGCAACCGGTCGCGTCTCGCCAAGCTGCTCCGCTTCCAGACCTCCAACGGCAAGGGCGTCACCTCGCTGGCCGAGTACAAGGAGCGCATGAAGGCGAAGCAGGAGCACATCTACTACATTGCCGGTGCCAACCGCGCCGAGGTCGAGAAGTCGCCCTTCGTGGAGCGCCTGCTGAGCAAGGGCTACGAGGTGCTGTACCTGGTGGAGGCCGTCGATGAGTACTGCATCTCCGCCCTGCCCGAGTTCGATGGCAAGAAGTTCCAGAACGTGGCCAAGGAGGGATTCCAGCTGAACGAGTCGGAGAAGAGCAAGAAGAACTTCGAGTCGCTGAAGAGCACCTTCGAGCCGCTGGTCAAGTGGCTGAACGATGTGGCCCTCAAGGATCAGATCTCCAAGGCACAGGTGTCGGAGCGTCTGAGCAACTCGCCGTGCGCCCTGGTGGCCGGCGTCTTCGGCTGGACCGGCAACATGGAGCGTCTGGCCATGTCAAACGCCCACCAGAAGTCCGACGATCCTCAGCGCACCTACTATCTCAACCAGAAGAAGGCACTCGAGATCAACCCCAGGCATCCCCTGATCCGCGAGCTGTTGCGTCGCGTTGAGGCCGACGAGGCCGATGACACCGCCAAGGACATGGCCTTGATGATGTTCCGCACCGCCACCCTGCGATCCGGTTATATGCTCCAGGAGACGTCCCAGTTTGCCGACAGCATTGAGCAGATGATGCGCCAGACCCTGGGCGTTTCCCAGAGCGAACAGGTCGAATTTGATGAGGATGAGGAGGACGATGCCGAGGAGTCGAAGACCGAGAGCCAGGAGAGTGCGAACGGCGACGACGAGGAGGAGGACCAGCAGCACGACGAGCTGTAAGCAGGTTCACATTCATCCACATGCATAGATTGTACATAAGAGTGTGGAGGTCAGACTGAGTTTTAAACAACCACCCGGCGGGCGTTTCATAAACATTACTCTCCTAGCATGTCCCTAGATTCTAAGTAAAGCAATTTCGTAATCCTTCACCGCCAGTCGCGCAGAGAGCACTCCTCCATCACAGCACAACACAACACACTCTCAACATTCGGTTGCTAAAGCGTTTTCTATTTTCGAAAGCAAATGAAATATGTATTTATACAATGTAATGAACAGATTCCAATCAAAATAAAGAAAGACAAATGAGTTTAAAGTTGGAAATTAATGTTAATTTGCCCCAATCGGCTACTTAAAATTTGCTCAATCGTATGAGTGCGAAACAATCTCATATCCTATATTGTTAACAGGGTTAGTTCAGTCATCTAGGTCGGAACACAATGGGTCATCGTTCAAGGCCTTCAAATATGAGCTGTACTTTATTTGGTCTCGGATTTGCTGCACTGCCTCCGAATGCGAAAGCTTGTAGTTGTCCATGAAGAGGCGCACTATCCACAGCGGCAGCAGTCCGTTTACCAGCAGTGCTGTGTGGTTCTGAACGATCAGGAAGTTTTTAGATAGGTATTCGATTCCAAAGTAGACCTGAACTTACGCTTCTACCGCTGTATATTTCCCCCAGTTTTTGCAGCATCTTCTGGTGAATGCTCTTGCTAAGTATGTCAATGATGTCCATGTGAGAAATGTTCATATAACTAACAGTGCGCGACTTAAGCTCCCGTTCCTTGAACAGCTTGTCAAAGTCGCTGCGGTATTTGTCGAAAGTGTTCAGGACATCTGCTTCGCCCATATTTTCCAAGAGTCTGAGACAATCAAAAGATCGAAGGAGGTTGAAGGCAATTTCGTAAACGTTGTTTTATTTCCACCTACTCGAATGAATCACACTTACAGAATCTCTACTTTTCGCGGCTTGGGCATGTCCAGCATGCTGTCCAGCCGCTGCAGTGCATCGAACCGGACCACGTCCATCTGCTCCACCTTCAGCGCCTTGGCTGGCGATGGCGACGGACGTTTGGGCTTGGCCTTGGACCCCTTGCCCTTGTTGCCCTTCGTCTCGCTGAAAACACACCCAGAGAAATGGTTAAAATTGGTCCTCAAAGCCATAGTTTTGAGGCGTCGTACCCTACTACGAAATTGTTAAATCGACTTGGACGCATTGGTGATCGGCCGGAGCGGCGTGCAGGCTTGGACTCGACAGAGCTGGCTCTGGAACTTCTGCGAATACATCAATACGCCTTGATTCTAGACTCATCTTGGCGTATTTGATATTTTACTTACCTTTCTAGTGGACTCTTCGATCGCTTGAGGGGTTTTCCCTGTTGAGAGGAGCTACTGGCGCTACTGGAAGACTTCTCCTTCTCGCCACCATGAGAAATGGATCTGCGCTCGCGTTTGATGGCTGGCGGTTTTGTGTCCGAGGACAAAAAATCACTGTCGTCGTCGGCATCTATGTGCTTGGGCTTTGATTGTGAGGCTTTATCTGGCACACTAATGGAAAGATGTTTAAAACGATTAAAAACTATTGCAATCCTAGGTATTTACATGCCAATAGGAAACTGAGATAAGGCAAATTGTGCATAATACAATTGTGAACGGAAAGTTTGTTTTTATAACTTATACTAAAGGGCAGCACTACGAATATACATAGTAAGTGCACAAACAATTCTTAAGGACTTCATTTTTAACATTAGTCTCGTCTTAAGGCTTATTGGACTCAAATTAGCTTTTAAGTGGTTTATATGATATAAGGCATTTGGACTAACTAAGTATTTAAGAAAACAATATTAAATTTACTTAAATTGAGTATTAAATCGATGTAAAACATATAAATAAATGCAATATAAGTACATTTAAAAGGTGAAAAATGACAGCTTAGTGATTTTAAAGATTAGATTATATATGCAGCTTATTATTCTTTGTTAAATGCACAAAATATATAGAACTAACTATTGTAAAAGCAGTAATACTAATAGAATGTCAAGTAATTGATAATAACATGCATTCAAATCATAAAAAATACGTTTTGACGGGTCTTAAAAGGAACCCCAAGGGGTTCTTTATATGAAGGACACTTAGATGTCCAACTACAAGGGCAAGCGGTTTCCTACCCAGCTTTTGGCTTGGATCCCGATCCCAAGGTGGTCGCCTTGTTGGCCTTATTGGAAATGATGCTGTGGCCGGAGCCGTTGGCTTCTGACTTCGTGGCATGTTTGCGCTTGGTGGTGTGGACGCCCACTATGGTCTTGTCCTCGTGCGAGATGTATTGCAGCTGGATGTCCAGGCAGAGATCCTTGGGGGTCAGCTCCTGACCAGCCGCCAGTAGGGTCATCGTGGCAGGATGCGGTTTGTCGGTGGCCTGGACCTGCACATTGATATGATCGATCAGCAACTCGCGCTGCAGCTTGTGGGCATCCTGCCAGTTTTTCAAGTTCTCCAACAGGCGCCACAGGCCATTTTCAATCCTGTCCCAGCGGTCTGCGGTCATCCAGTGAAATACATTCTGCGATTCCCGCTCAAAATGGGTCACAGGTGTCGGCAGAACTTTGACGCTGCAAGCGACGCGGTGCTTCTTGTACTGAAATTAGAATATGTTTAGCCAGCAGTTGCTTGCAATATTCGTTGGTCAATACTTGATATATTTGCGAAATTAATTGGCAATCACCAATGGCGGAAAAAGACATTTTTACAAAATCGTCGCGATTTGGCAGCACAAGCAACAATTAACTTCTGTGGCATCCAAGCTCTGGTCACACTGTGTAGTTTCGCTTATCGATAAGTCTATCGATTGATGGTGAAACCATTGGTTTTTAGTCGAAAATTAGGCGCCAATAAGCTTTAAATTCAAATTTGTCGGCCAAGTTTATAATAAATTGATCTCAAATAATAAAAATATATATTTAATTTTATTTTTGCGCAAAGCATCTTTAAAATATAAAAAATTACAATACTAAGGCTTTTTTTTGTATTGCAATATCTCCAACATATAATACAGTCTTGAAGGGTGCTAAAATGAATTTCACTTACTATTTGAATTCCGAGAAAAGCTGATAATATTTTATCTACAGACAAATAATTGCAGTTAATCTTAAAATATAAACAAATAGTCCAGTAGTAAACTATGTAAATAAATATTGACGCTTTCGAAAAACAAATTAAAAAAATTAACAGAATATGTTTTTTTTTTAATCTGAATGAATGAGGCTCTAATCAATGAATCTTTAAGAACTTACAAATCCTTATCACAGCAGCGTGTGGCTTAGGTCAAGACTTGGCAAGAGAACCGATTACACAAGACAACAAAAGGTGAATTTTTAAAGCCAACTTAAAAAATAATTTTGTGTTTTAATAAACAAAATCTACCAGTTACACAAATTTGTAATACATTATGTAGCTATACTTTGTGATTTGTCTTTCTAGTAAAACATATGAAATGTGTATTTTATTCAAATAAAAAACGTTAGAAAAGTGTTTTGCAAGTCCACTTAAATTAAGTTATAACTCGATAACTTGTATTAAAGCTTCTCTCGGCCAACAATTTATATCGTTATACGATTTTTTAGTTGACCTATAAGTTATACGTAATTTTATTCAAAATACAAAACTTTTTAAAAGTCTCACGAAAAAGTAGAAAATGTGTTTAAACTCCGCATTATGATGTCATAATGATGCTTAGGCCATAATCTCTGTTGTCCAGTGTAGTTCGTTGATATGGTTGCGAATAAAGCACATTCTGTATGGAGAGACTCGGATTCGGCAGTAGTTCAGTTCTCAGTCGCGTTTCGAATAAAACAGTCGAGCTAATTGTGTTATTCTCAAATAATCCGGGTCGATCAATGATTAGCCAAACTACTTGACTTTATATATATATATATATATATATATATATTTGCATGCCCTAAGAATCAGGGCAACATGTTTTCAATCTCGAAACGTGCTCAATTATCCTTGTTCATCGTGATTTGCCTAATTTTGTTAGGACAGAGTGAGGCCCGGAGTGTTGGCGATGAATCCGAAACCCAGGATCAGTTGGAAAATGCGATCACAGATGAAACGACGGAGTATCTGCGATCCTACGGCGCCAAGATGAAGTCCTATATGAACTTAAGCGTGGCGCCCTGCGATGATTTCTATGAGTACGCGTGCGGAAACTGGAAGAACGTGAACCAGCCGCGCCAGGCCGTCCACAAACGGAGCAATCTGCTGGACATTGTCTACACGCTGGCGGATGTGACGGAGCAGCTGATGACCAGGACCCAACTGGCGGAGGCGCTAAACGTGTCCGGCGAACTGCTGGTTGCACAACGCTTCTATAACGCCTGCCTCACGGCCGTGGTCTATCCGCTGCCGGCTGCCGATCCGGCTTATCTATCGCTTATCAGGTCGCTCGGTGGATTCCCCGCCGTCGATCGCGAGGCCTGGAACGCCTCCAGCTTCAGCTGGTTCAACATGAGCGCCCATCTCACCAATTACGGGGTCGCAGGACTGATCAACGAGCATCTCCTGACGCAGTATCCCTTTACCCCCTACTTCAAATTGCCGGAATTGGGCTTCGACCATGTCGTCCAGACGGACAACATTGTCAATTCCAGTTCCCGGGCCTACCAGCTGAATGAGAAGCGCATGCGCGGCTATCTGCAGGCCTTCAATCTCACCGAGGATAACGTATCCGCCGTGATAGCCGGCGTCTTTGACTTTTGGCGCGAGGCACTTGCCATCAACGATAAGTTTGAGGGTAATGACGACATGTGTCTTGTACTTAGCACCTTGCAAGAGGTGCCGCCATTTAGCCAATGGAGCAGCTATTACGACATCGCCTGGACGGGCCTAGACTTCCAGAAGGGCGATCCAAGCCATTCGGGCGATTCGGGCTACTGCGACTATTACTACACGGAGCTGGACAAGGTGTGTGCCAGACATCAGGAGGCCGTGGCCAACTATCTGGCCATGCTGCTCCTCTACCGCATGGATGCCAAGCTGAAGGAGGAAAAGTACCACAAGGAGCACTGCCTGACCACCGTCCACTTCACGATGGCCCATCTCTTCAACAAGCTATACATGGCGGTGCGTTGAAAACAAAAATTTAACTTTTAAAAATACTTGTTTGTGCAAATTGTCCTTTGGCCAATAATAAGAAAAAATGGAGTTAAATCAAAACAATAGGAGTTCTTAAGCTAATGGAAATAGCAATCGAAAATAGTTTAATTGGAACTTAAAAACTCTTTCATATTTTCCTAAGTCTAATACTAAAACCTATTGGACCATAAATTATTTTGAAGATAGTTTGTTATATAAAATAGTTTTTATTTTAAAATAGTTTAGATATTTAAGGTTTTTTTTCTTAAACTGATAAGTAATATTAATTTTAATTTTTTTAACTCTTTTAGAATCATTTTCTACATATTTTAGGGAATTATTAGCAGTTTAATTTTTCTAAAACAATATCATATAGGATTTTAGTAAATAAGCATTATGATAAATTATTTATTATTTTAACCGTAACTACACGTACATTTTTTTATGTCCCAGTGGGTAAAAAACTTTTTCCGTTGGAATTTTTGCTAACCATCTTTGAGGTGCCTCTCAAACTGACTTTAACTATCTTAAATTTTAAAATTGATTTTTATATAAAGGCAAATTCAGTGACTTTATAGTATAGTATATTTCATTGCTATACCCGTTGGGGTATAAATGTTTTTGGATTTTTTTTATCTATATCGATCAACGCGTTCAAATAGAACAATTATTAATTGAACAATTATGTATTGAACAATTATTATTGAGATTCACATTATGATCGAATTAAGCATTCATTTGTTTTTTAATTTACTAGATAAGATAGTTTTATACCATGTTAGGATGCTATTTGTTAGTTAGTTAAATGGAAATACTTCAGAACGATCTGACCCAAAAATGTTAATTTACGACTTGCCTTATCCACTTCCCTTTCGTTCGCAGGAGTACTTCAGCGAGGACACCCATACCGAGATCTCCGACATGGTGAAGGAGTTGCGCAAGGCGCTGCGTCAAACGCTGGAGAGCGTGGAGTGGCTGGACACGGAGACGCGACGAGAGGCGCTGCTCAAGGAGGCCAGCATCACGCCGCAAATTGGTAGCTACAAGGATGCGGAGCTGGCCGACACCCTGATTCGCCAGATAGCGAATCTATCCGTGGTCGAGGACAACTTTGCCCAGAGCATGATCAATCTGCGGCAGTTGGGAACCTGCTTGCGACGCTACAATGGCCTGCATTTCGAGCAGATTGCCAACGACTCGAAGCCACTGGACTTGATAGTGGGCATGCAGGTGAATGCCTTCTACTACAACCTGGATAACTCGATGTACGTGATGGCTGGCATCCTGAATCCGCCCGCATATCATCGCTCCTGGCCCGACTCCCTGAAGTTTGGCACCCTGGGCTATCTGGTGGGCCACGAACTGACCCATGGCTTCGATACGGTGGGCTCCACTTTCGACAGCGAAGGGGAACTGCGCAATTGGTGGTCCAGGAAATCGGGAGCAGTGTTCCACGAACGAGCCCAGTGCTATGTGGATCACTTCAGCAACTACTTGATACCGGAGATCAATCATAAGATCAATGGCAACGGGACCAAGGATGAGAATATCGCAGACGCCGGTGGACTGAGGGAGTCCCTCGCCGCCTATCGCAGCCACATGAAGCAGCTCCAAAAGAGCGCTGGCGAAAATAACGAGACATTGGCGCCCCAACGAAACGAGCAGATGCCCGGCCTCGACGTTTCGCCGGAACAGCTCTTCTTCCTCGGATTTGCCCAGCTCTGGTGTGCCGCCTACGAGGAGGAGCACTACTGGGAGGAGCTGACCCAGGAGCACACCATCGACAAGTACCGGGTTCTGGGTGCCGTCTCCAACAACGAGGACTTTGCTGAGGTCTACAATTGCCCTCTGGGAAGTGCCATGCATCCAAAGGCCGAAACTTGTCGCGTGTGGTAATCTTAGTCGATATCATCTTGATATTAAAAGAAGGCTATAAAATTACTTCTTAAAATGTAATACAAAAAAACGAATAAAGAATAAAAATCAGATAATATGCTTTAGTTATTAATTTTTTGCTATTATGAAAATAAAGCTACTCAGCATTTGCCCTCAAAACAAATTCATCGATTTTGATTGGTTGTGAAAAGTATATACAAATATTATAATGTTGAATTTGTAAGTCAACAAACAGATTTTAATTATATTTTACAAAATTTGAATGTTTGCTATTTATCAGTAAATTTGTTATCTTTTAGTTTTAAGATTAGACTTTAAAAAGTCTCAAGTCTCACTAAAACGAAATAATGACTGAAACAATACCAAAAGTTTTTTTATAATAATGCTTCTGCCTTTGAAATTAATTGATTTCTAGTCTTATTAAAATTTTATTCATAAAACTTACACGAATAGGGGGCTTCTTATTCTTGCTAGTGAAACCATTGGAGCACCCTTGAATTAATAAAAAAACGTAGTTAGCAGCATCATCTATTTATTCCTAACTTGGTTTAGTGATCAACGTGTTCAGAGGATTTGAAGGCGTTGGGTCCCCGGTAGTTCTCGACCAGCAGTGACTTATACCGCCGCAGATGGACGCTGAGTCCTTCCTCGCGTTCGCTGGCTGAGAGGATTGAGACGCGGGCCACGACCAGGTGGGATGGATTCGATTGGCTGAAGCCCCGGATCACATCGATGTCATCGCCGATTTCGAGCTAGAATAAGACAATTTTTAATGGGATTTCTAAGCAAATAGGTACTCCTTACCTGAGCACTCTTCTTGGGCAGCTTTTTGCCATTGACTCGTATCTTGCTCTCATAGAAATTCAGTTCAACTTTGCTGGTGAGGAGGAGATTCGTTATGGTTATAAGGAGCACTTCAAGGTTTTCTGGGGAGAGTACTTACTTTCTGGCCATGCCCAGGCCAGCTTTCAGCAGGAGATCGGCACGCAGCGAGTTCACCTTGGTCTTGACCACCTTGGAGTCCCTTTCGTCCTTGAAATCCTCATCATCCTCGTCGTCGCTGTCCAAATCATCAGACGCTCGCGAGGATTTCTTGTCATATTTCCATGTGCTGCAACTGGTGTGCAAAGCAGACTGAAGTCTACAAGGGGCTGGTAATCTCAGTAGACTGTTGGCAAGAATCGGCGACTTAAAACCTCTGCCTATCCTCATTATTTGACGAAAACTGCGGAGCATTTTGTGTGCGGGCGCCTTAAAAAATTACGATAACAAACTGAGAAACATAACCTTAAAAATAACAGCTGATGCGGCCGCGTTGCCAACTATCTTTACGATTTGCTAGCAGGTGCCTTTTTGTTTCGCTTCTTTTTGGGTTTCTTGTCGGGATTGGGACGTATTTGGTGGACAGTAAGGGGGCGATAGGTTTGTAGATCTCTGGGCAGAAAGTCGTCTTCGACTGGCTCCACTTCTATGGGCTCTAAGCTGCAGAATTCCTCCTTTTCTACAGGTTTTTGATTGGCTTCTGTATTCAACTCCTTACTTTTTCCTTTCATGGCTAAATTTCGAAGTGCATTGCCTAGTTTTTGGGACTCCACTTGGACATCTAGGCGGTCCAGCTTTATAGAGGGTTTATTTGATGAACAGGATATGAAATCATCGTCGAAATCCATTTTTTCAGCAGTGGGAAGTGGCATCTTTCTTTCCTCTTTAATTGGTTCGATTTCTATTGGTTTTTTCTTCGGCTTCTTGTGGATTTTAGTTTCTACCTTTTTAACAGACGGAGGCGTTCTTTTTCTGGCAATAACCCATTGTTCCAGCTCAGCACTTATAGTTCTTAAATCCAATGGTAAAGCCAGGCAAACTGCTCTCACCCCAAAGATTTCCATGGTGAGCTCCTCCAGCTTGGGCTGTGCATAGATGGGAGCAGTGGCCACCTTGACGGATGCACTGGTGGCTATCAAACGGATGAGATGAGCTGGTCGCAGGCTCAAGGAAACCACCAAACAGGAGAAACGCTGCGAATTAATGGCTCGCAGGGAACTTTCCAGGCCGAGATGTATGCCAAATCGAGTGGCAAAGGATTTCGGTTCTGCCCCGCTGCTCTGCATACTCTTTTTTAGGATCTGTCGAAACTGCAATACATCCTCATCCGGCAAAACTGGACTAAAAGTGACAAAATTAAAACCTGTTGATTGAGTTTTATTAGCTTTACCTGTGTTGCTTATACGGATTGGCTAGAACTGTTCGCAGTTTGGGTAGAATTTTCTTCTTGCCCTTGACTTCTTTCTGTTTTATGCTAGCCAAACTCATATTTTCTACTATGAATTACTTCAAACAGATTGAATTGCTGTGAAAATAACCAACTAAAATGTGTTTTGCTTTTGGCCAGTGTGACTGCCTTTCATGTCTTAAAATATACCATTTATATGACAGCAATATTAAAAAATACTAAAAGTATACCAGCATTAAATAAAACGACCGCTTGCAGTTAAATTTAAAAAATGTCTTTATTTTTATCAAAAATTAGTACCAGTAAAGTTCAGGTTCTGTATCTGAAGAATACTTTAATTTTCTCGGTCTTTGCCTCACGGATTCCTCAACGGCACTCAATCTTCGTTTAGTTGTGGTTTCTTCTTGAGGTTTATTTATCTCAGTTGTTGTCCAATGAAATCCTGAAGTTGTTGATGTAGTAGAAGTTTCCACTTCTGTACTACCAATCACTGTATCTAAATATGATGTTGAAGTTTCAAAGCCCGGAGTAGTGGCAATTATATCCAGTAGTGACGTGGTGGTTTCCGGGTTTTCAGTGGTTAATAAAAGTCCTTCTGTGGAGGTTTCTATTGTTTCAGTTGTACTTTGATAATCTGTAGATATTGTAGTGGTTGTTTCTGAAGATTCTGTACTGACATCATATATTTCTGAAGTGGTTTCTAAAAATTGGGTTGTTGATTCCGGTAAAACTGTAGTGCTGGGACTTTTACCTAATGATTCGGTACTAAAAAACTCTGGACTTGATGTTGTAGAAAAATCTCCAATAATAGCCGTTGATTTTGGAAGTTCTGTGCCACTTAAAATTGATTCTGTAGTAGATTCTAAGGATTCCGTACTAAAAAATTCCGGACTGGATGTTGTAGAGAAATCTCCAACAACAGTCATTGATTCTGGAAATTCTGTGCTTTGACCTTTTTCTAATGATTCTGTGCTGAAAAACTCCGGACTTGATGTTGTAGAAAAATCTCCAATCGTAGCCGTTGAGACAGAAAATTCTGTACTACTTAAAATCGTTTCTGTAGTGGACTCCAAGGATTCAGTACTGAAAAACTCCGGACTTGTTGTTGATGTCGAAATTTCCCAACTATTAGGATTTGATTCCGTAGTAACTTCTAAAGATTCTGTACTGGTAAGCTCGGGCTTTGTTGTCGTTGTAGAATATTCATAGGTTGTTTTAGAATCCGTGTCTTCAGTACTGGTCATTGCCAGCCATGCTGTTGTAGTGGAATCTAAAATACTTGTGGTTGTTTCAGGCGGTTCTGAAGTAACAAAACCTGATTCTGTTGTGGAAAAATCAGGTTGAGATGTCGTACTATCAGTGCTTGTGATAGATATATCCTCAGTGAAATAAGTAGTTGTCTCCGTTGAAGTCGTTGATTCCGCGATTGTTGTTGCTGTGGTTGTCTCCCAAAAATCTCCACCAAATGTGTTGGTTAAATTTACAACTCGCGGCTTATACGGTTCGTAGGTTTTCACTTTATACGGCTTGTGATTCCTTATGTATTCCTTGGCAATGTTTATCCATTCGTCGCGATCGAGAATTTCGTTTAGTTTTCTACTTGAGGACACGAGTTGCGCCATTAAAAGAAGCAAACACAATTTCTTCATAATGATGCTCATGCCTGCAAATGACAAACCTTACTAATTACACTCGTCAATAGCAATGTTATATAAACCCAAACTGTCTACCTGGATTCGTTGGCTTTTCAACTACCTGCCTCCTGGAAAAATGTTAATTAGGTTTAATGACTTGGGATTTTTGAATTTTGCCGCCAGGGCTACAGAAGCCCCTTGTTTTTATGTTGGCAATGCTGTAAACAATGCCGGCATTGGAACAGCTGTTTACTTTTTTGCGACAAGAAGAAGAACAGCGTGTTTTCAATCCGCGTTTTTGTGTAAAAATTGTAAAATCTTCATTTATTCGCTATTTTTAATCGTCTTTAACAAGATTATAGTAATTAGAAGGTGTTTCAACCTTTGGTGAGTAGTTGGTAATATAAAAAAGGCGCCAAAAATATTAATATTGAGCAACCGCAAAAGTTTACAACTTCATGTGACGCGGCAGGCAAATCTTGAATGAAATAATTAAAAATGTATATTTCTTAGACATTATAATGGATTCCGATTTGTACGATGAGTTCGGCAACTATATTGGCCCCGATTTAGACAGCGATGAAGATGATGACCAAAGTATCTATGGCCAACCCGATGTCCAGGATGATCCTGAGGTATTTGTAGAGAGAGAAAAGTACTTAAAGGTATAAATAACCACTTTAATTAAAACTAAAGGACCCCATGGATGAGGACGAAGCGGAGCCGCAGGAGGACGAGGACAAGGAGGTGACCGCCGTGGTGCTGCACGAGGACAAACGCTATTATCCCTCAGCCGTTGAGGTTTACGGGCCGGATGTGGAGACCATTGTCCAGGAGGAGGACGCCCAGCCGCTGGACAAGCCGCTCATCGAGCCGGTAAAGAAGCTCAAGTTCCAGATCAAGGAACAGGACATGCAGGAGACCACCTACGACATGGAGTTCATGGCCGATCTGATGGACACACCGCCGCTGATCCGCAACGTGGCCTTGGTTGGCCACCTGCACCACGGCAAGACCACCTTCGTCGACTGCCTCATCCGGCAGACGCATCCGCAGTTCGAGAACATGGAGGAGCGCCAGCTGCGCTACACGGACACTCTGTTCACGGAGCAGGAGCGCGGCTGCAGCATCAAGGCCACGCCGGTGACTTTGGTCCTGCAGGATGTCAAGCAAAAGAGTTATCTGCTCAACATCTTCGACACCCCGGGCCATGTTAACTTCTCGGACGAGGCCACCGCCGCCATGCGAATGTGCGACGGTGTGGTTCTGTTCATTGATGCCGCCGAGGGCGTCATGCTGAACACGGAGCGGCTGCTCAAACACGCGGTGCAAGAGCGCCAGGCCATCACCGTGTGCATCAACAAGGTTAGTGGCCATTTTAGAGACTGTTTAAAACATGCTCATGTTTCTCTTGACCTCGTAGATTGATCGGCTCATTCTGGAGCTGAAGCTGCCGCCCCAGGATGCCTACTTCAAGCTGAAACACATTGTGGAGGAGGTCAATGGGTTGCTGAGGTGAGTAAAAACAAGTTTTACACATTTTTCCTTAAAGATAACATGCTTATTTACGCTTAACATTCAGCACCTATGGCGCTGCAGATGATAATCTGTTAGTTTCGCCTATTCTGGGCAACGTATGCTTTGCCAGTTCTTTGTACGGCTTCTGTTTCACCCTGAAATCCTTTGCCAAGCTCTATGCGGACACATATGAAGGAGTGGCGTACCTGGACTTTGCCAAACGCCTCTGGGGCGACATGTACTTCAATAGCAAAACGTAAGTGGCTTTAGCAGACACCAATAGCATCATTTAATAATTATCCATTTATAAAAAGGCGTAAGTTCTCCAAGAAGCAGCCGCATAACTCGGCACAGCGCAGCTTTGTGGAGTTCATCCTGGAGCCCATGTACAAGCTGATTGCGCAGGTGGTGGGCGATGTGGACACCACCTTGTCGGACACCTTGGCCGAGCTGAACGTTCGCGTTTCCAAGGAGGAGATGAAGTCCAATATACGACCCCTGCTGCGCCTCGTGTGCAATCGTTTCATGGGCGATTGCAGCGGTTTTGTGGACATGTGCGTGGAGCACATCAAATCACCCCTGGAAAACGCAAAACGAAAGGTGGATCATATTTACACTGGACCAAAAGAGGGTGACATCTATCGGGATATGATATCGTGCAATCAGTATGGCACCCTAATGGTACACAGCTCCAAGATGTATCCCAACGATGACTGCACCTTCTTTCAAGTGCTGGCTAGGATTGTATCTGGTACTTTGCATGCTGGTCAGGAGGTGCGTGTCCTTGGCGAGAACTACACGCTGCAGGATGAAGAGGACTCTCGCATACTGCAAGTGGGTCGCCTGTGGGTCTTCGAGTCTCGCTACAAAGTGGAGCTAAATCGAGTTCCCGCAGGAAATTGGGTGCTCATTGAAGGCATCGATCAGTGCATTGTCAAGACCTCCACCATTGTGGATATTAATGTCCCAGAGGACCTTTACATATTCCGGCCACTCAAGTTCAACACCCAGAGCATTATTAAGATTGCCGTGGAGCCTGTGAATCCCTCCGAGCTGCCCAAAATGCTGGATGGTCTGCGCAAGGTGAACAAGTCGTATCCACTGCTCTCCACGCGCGTAGAGGAGTCGGGTGAACATGTCATCTTGGGCACTGGCGAACTGTACTTGGACTGTGTGATGCACGACCTGCGTAAGATGTACTCGGAGATTGACATTAAAGTGGCGGATCCTGTGGTCGCTTTCTGCGAAACAGTTGTCGAAACAAGTTCTCTGAAATGTTTTGCCGAAACCCCAAACAAAAAGAACAAAATAACCATGATATCGGAGCCACTGGAGAAGGGCTTGGCCGAGGACATTGAAAACGGAACTGTTTGCATAAACTGGAACAAGAAGCGTATCGGAGAGTTCTTCCAGGTCAACTACGATTGGGATTTGCTGGCGGCGCGTTCCATTTGGGCCTTTGGTCCCGACTCAACGGGTCCGAACATCCTGGTGGACGACACCCTGCCCTCGGAAGTGGACAAGAACCTGTTGACGGCCGTGAAGGATTCGATTGTGCAGGGCTTTCAGTGGGGCACACGGGAAGGTCCACTGTGCGAGGAGCCCATTCGGAATGTCAAGTTCAAGATACTCGATGGAGTTATTGCCAATGAGGCGTTGCATCGCGGTGGCGGCCAGATTATTCCCACAGCCCGAAGAGTGGCCTACTCTGCATTTCTGATGGCCACGCCGCGTTTGATGGAACCCTATCTGTTTGTGGAGGTCCAGGCGCCTGCCGATTGCGTTTCCGCAGTTTACACTGTGCTGGCCAGACGCAGGTGAGTTTTGCGCGCCTCTTTTTATTAGGAAATCAGTTGTAAAATCTCATTTACAGAGGACATGTAACGCAAGATGCCCCCGTTTCCGGTTCCCCCATCTACACGATCAAAGCCTTTATACCCGCCATTGATTCCTTTGGATTTGAGACAGATCTGCGCACGCACACTCAGGGTCAAGCCTTCTGTTTGTCGGTCTTCCATCACTGGCAAATCGTGCCTGGCGATCCCCTGGACAAGAGCATAATTATACGGCCGCTGGAGCCGCAGCAGGCGTCGCATTTGGCGCGAGAGTTTATGATCAAGACGCGTCGCCGAAAGGGACTTTCCGAGGATGTGTCCATCAACAAATTCTTCGACGATCCCATGTTGCTGGAATTGGCGCGCCAGGATGTGCTGGTCAACTATCCCCTTTAGGCTTCAGAATTCTTCAGTTAACCCAATAAAACTCTTAGACATACTTTTGGAATTTCAATTTCATACTTTAGAGGAAGTCTTTTTTTCTACTATATTTACTACATATTTATTTGAAGCCTGTAAGGGCCAAATAATTTACAAAATAGTATACAGAAAACAGCTATAGTTGTTGTGTTAGTCTTCAGGTCCTTACTCGGCGTTGCCGTTCTGCAGGACCTCCGACTCATAGCCATCATGCTCGGCATGCTCGTCATCAAACTCCACGTCGTCGTCGGCTGTAGCCTCCTAAAAAAAATTAAAGAAATCGAATGAGTATAAGATAAAAATCCAACCGTTTGCCCTGTTCAAAAAATACTTAAATCATAGTTTTTAAGACTTGGCTTAAGAAGATTGACTTAAAGAAACTACAACTTAGTTTTCTAATCGTAAATAATTACAGAGGACTGTATTTAACCAGGAAAGTATAAATTGTTTTCATTGAAAACATAATTTTTAAAGGCACTTAAAAATCGAAATAATTGTGTAAAATCAGAGCTTAAAAATATTCCAAAGATATGCAATGATTTTCATCCATTGCTGTTTCAAGTTTGTTTAATTTTGTGTTTGACTATATAAATTTCTTAAAATCTAATATTTTCCACATAAATTTAAATATTTTAATGTTAAATCATGCAATTTACTATTCCACGTTGTTGTCATTGTAGTTACCTGATACTGCTGGTACTCGGATATCAGATCGTTCATGTTGCTCTCCGCCTCGGTGAACTCCATCTCGTCCATGCCCTCGCCGGTGTACCAGTGGAGGAAGGCCTTGCGCCGGAACATGGCGGTGAACTGCTCGGAGATGCGCTTGAAGATCTCCTGGATGGCCGTCGTGTTGCCAATGAATGTGGAGGACATCTTGAGGCCTCTGGGGGGGATGTCACAGACGGCCACCTTGACGTTGTTGGGTATCCACTCCACGAAGTAGCTGCTGTTCTTGCTCTGCACGTTGAGCATCTGGGTGTCCACCTCCTTCATGGACATTGGACCTGTGAATTATTGAGTGAAAACCTTTAAAAAAAAGTGCCCTTTTGCTGTGGCCCGCATTTACATCAAAAGACAAGTTTCCGTTTGATGCGCAAGCGGAATCCCCAAATCCCTGAATATGAAATACTAAACGGCTTCCACCAAGTTTTGGCTCCTGGAGCACCTCACCTGGCTTGGAAGCCCCACCAGATGGGACACAAACAGTCCCAGGAGGCAACTAAAAAAGTTGTTTAAATTCCTACTCCCTGGCATTTTTTTCCTCACATTTTTGTGATTAATTATTTTGCAAGTATTTCTGGCAGTCAGTCGGAGACGAAAACGAATCCTGAGATGACGGTGGGTGGAGGTGGGGCGAGGTCTTGCCCAAGTCACGTTCGGCATGATTAGTTAAGCCGAGGGGCCGTGTCAGGCGGCGGTCGTCGCAATTCCCCAATGGATCTTGAAAGTAAATTTCTAATTACGCGCTCGTTTTGCGAGTCATCAGTCAAAAGCAAGGGCAAAAGCGGCGCACACAAGGAATAGCAAATGAAATATTATGCGGCATACATTTGGGCGCCGCATCGCAGTTTATTAATTTAAAAATTAGCGCGAAAAAATGCCCAAGAACCTTTTTTTTCCAAGGGGGGCGGGGCCTAACAAATTTGCGCTACGTGCGCGTTGACGGATTGCAGCCTTTTTAGCCGCCAGCCAGCGGGCATTAATCATTTTTAGTGGCGCCCATAAGTAGGCCCAATGCTGCTCGGGTTTGGCTAATAAAATCGTCGCCAAAGCCAAGCCCCGGGAGTCCAAGGTGTTAGCCAGGGGCGGATCGGGGGATGTCAAAGTGTGGGTGCTTCTATGCATTATAGACTTAACGATCACTATAACTATATTGTTTCAAAAGCATTTTAGTCGGGGGAGCCACTGAAATTCAAAATAGATTTCCTATCAATAAGGATCGAAAGGCTTTGTACATTTCACAGAGTAATTTAATCTCTTTGAAAACCATTTTTTCTATATTTTCAAACGATTTAAAGATTTTTTTTTAACCTAATTTTGTTTATTTGATCCCATTGAGTTTTACCTAACCCTAACTCCCATTGATCCGCCCCTGGTGCAATGACTACGTGCCTGCGGGTCCGGAAAACGGCGGACAGGTGCGCTACCGGCTGCCCATGACAAAGTGACAAAGTTGGGCCGGATAAGCCGGTGCGGGGGCTCCTGAATAAATGAGCGGATAGATGAATGGATTCCCTGTGTTTTTTGGCTACGCGTGGAAGTGTTTAGGGCTTGTTGTTAAAAAACTATTTTTCTTTTTTGCCACCCCTGTGGGTTTTTTGGATTTTTGGGTATTCGGGTTCACGTTTTCTCACCCCGGAAGATGCAGGCCACCGTGAGGTAGCGTCCGTGCCTGGGATCGCAGGCGGTCATCATGTTCTTGGCATCGAACATCTGCTGGGTCAGCTCGGCCACCGTGAGGGCTCGATATTGCTGGGATCCCTTGGCGGTCAGAGGAGCAAATCCGGGCATGAAGAAGTGCAGACGCGGGAAGGGCACCATATTCACCGCCAGCTTGCGCACATCGGCGTTCAGTTGGCCGGGGAAGCGCAGACAGGTGGTCACTCCGGACATTGTGACCTGGTTGGGAGAGGGCGAATAATTTAATAATAAAGGTCAAAGTTCATTGAAAATACGTTAAATAAAAATTCGCCTTTTATTTAAAAGCACTTTTCCAGCTGAGAGAATTTGTTGAATACGTAAAATGATTGATAAATTGATAAATTTTAAACAAATAGTTTTGCAGCAAAAAAGGTTTTTTAAACTGGTTATTTAAACTTATACTATCTTAATATTTTTAATTTAAAACTTAAAGGAATATTTAATAATGTTACAAATAGATGATTCATAAAAATTTTAATAATGTATTTTAATGCATTTAAGAACAACCATAATAGGAAAGTTTTAATTTTTTAATAAAAGATCAAAAAATAATTGCTAATATAAATTTTCAATATTTTGCACATTTTAGGTATTTAAAAATCCAAGAAATATGTGTTATATTAACCGTTTTTTTTAATTTATATATCTTGAGATCCAAGAAAATTGAGGGCGAATTTGTATTTATTTTAAAAAAATATTTAAGTAGTTAAAATATGGTAGGAAACGATTTGTGAGTTGGGTGTTTATATTTTGGTGTTAACATCTGGTAATATCGCGCTTGTTTGTTTTCCTTCCTTTTTTTTTGGTGTTGACAACCGGACATCTTGGTCAACTTTTGTTTTTTAATTCCATTTAAATCCTTGATTACTTACGGACACCAGGTGGTTGAGATCCTCGTATGTGGGCGAGCAGAGTCGCAGGCTCTGATAGCAAATGTCATACAAGGCCTCGTTGTCGATGCAGAATGTCAAATCGGTGTTCACAATAAGTTGGTGAAGGGACAACGTGGCGTTATATGGCTCCACCACCACCTCGGACACCTTTTCCCGGAGTGTTCAATGGATTGGATGGGGATGGAGCAGGAAAAGGGGTCGGTGGGTGGACAAAAAGAGGACGCATTAGATAGATTGACCAAGGGGTACTCACGGAAACCAGGTGGTTAAGATCGCCATAGGTGGGCGACGATAGCTTCAGCGTGCGGAAGCAGATGTCGTAGAGAGCCTCGTTGTCAATGCAGAAGGTCTCGTCCGTGTTCTCCACCAGTTGGTGGATGGACAGCGTGGCATTGTACGGTTCCACCACGGTGTCGGACACCTGGACACCGCATTTGAGTTGGAGCAGCGAGTTGGAGCAGCGCAGCGACATGCAGGAATAGGAGCAGTAACAAATTGGTTAATTAGCAATGCTTTCAGCTATCAGCAGGCACACACACACAACATATGATGGCTAAATGATTTGGGAAAATGGATGGATGGTGTTGCTAAAGCTTTTCAGATGCAAGGCTGCTGCAAACCCAGTACATTTAAGAAGTTTTGTTGAAAGATTATTTTGCATTTAAAAATGGATATAGTCAGATTTTATATTTATATTTCAAGTTCTTTGCTTACTACCAAAATGTGTTAAAACAAATTTGTTTTTAATTTTTTTATGTTTTCCCCTTATTGCTTAAAGTTTTATTTATTAAAAAAATGGTAAATGCATGAATGGGATTGTCAAAGCTTCTTAGCCGTAAGGCTTCTTATCAAATAAATACATATATATAAATGTAAAGTTTATATATTTTTTTTTATGCTAAATTAGATATTAAAAAAGTGTATTTTCCATTCTATTATAAAGAACTTTATTTACCCGTTATAATTAAATTCCAGGCATAAATTAAAAATTCCCCAAATGACTATTAATATATTTTACCTAAAGACTTTTAAAGACTTCCTTTTTTGCAAGTCGCTTTGAAAACAAGAAGTTTAATCCAAACTGAAGCCTTTTTCTATGCTACCGTATTGTTAATGGCAATAATAAACGATTGGCCGCACTCCTCGTCTAATTTGCACTTCTTTTGGCCTAAATCGCATGGTCGGCATTTGAGTTGTTCATGGACATGAAAAATGCATTCTGCCAACAGGATGCAATTCGAATGCAGTGCTAACTGAATAGCAGACCCTATTAATACGAGCAGTTGTGTTGTGTTGTTGTGGCTGCAACCAGCAGTTGCTAATGCCATTGTGAGCCTGGAGCAGCACTCAGACCGAGAGTTGTTGCATAAATGCAGTTGCATGTTGCACAAACATCTGGGTGCCAGCTATACCCCCATTCACAATCGCATTCATACATGTCTGGTATGTGTGTTTCGAATGCTGCAAATTGAAAATTATGTATAATCTTTGGCTTGTCCTCTATATTTGCGGAGCCAAAATGCATTGCTCGTCGGTTGTTAAAGGCAGGGGTCTCATGAGGTGGGTTTTGATGGGGGGGAAGGGAGTTTTCCATTGAGCATGCGACAAACTTCACTCCAGACTCGGTTTGCAGTATACCAAGTGTGTGCACATAAATTGTGGCAATTATTTAATGGCCACAGCCCTTGAGCGATAACGTGCTCTCCCACGCCCACACTTTAAGTTCCTT